GCTTTGGATTTTAAGCCTGCAGAACAAAACTTTTCTTGCGTCTTTTCGCTGCGTGTAGCAAAGATTTCTTCTGGGTTGCGCGACATCTTCATCCTCCTGGAGGATCCAACATCGCATTGATGAAATTGAACTCTCTAACTCCATAGATAAACGAACTCAGAATGCGGTTGCATCTACTACAACCTTGAACGATTTAGTTCCTTTAAGATGAAGGCTAATCAGAATTTCATCGCAAGAACTCGTCAAAGAGTGGAACAACCCAGTAAGCACTGTCATATTTCACTCTTCGTCAGAGGATGGTCATTGGCTCGTTGTTCCCCAGTTGGAATTCCAGCCTTGGGGAAACCATTCCCTCTGGCTTCAGAACGTCTTCCGTGATGATGGCTATCTTCTCGTTCGCCTCTGCCCTCTCCTCTTCCTTAACGGGTGACTTGGTCTCGTGAGGGCCTGGGGAGCAAAGAAAGGATGACGCCTCTCGAAGGGAGAACTCGCGAAGGACTCGATCGGACTCGCGACTGACGGAGCTTGAAAGGTAGAATTTGTGTGATGGGGATCACGATCCACTCGTATAGCCGACGTGCTTTCGGGAACTCTGGTAGATGATCTGGATGTTGAGAGAAAGCAGGTAACTGCAGTAGGTCAATCGGCTGAAGGGGATCAGCGCCTTCCAAGACAGGATCTTGTTCACGAACCCTATACGTGATGAGAGTCGGTTATTTGAAGTTTGATGGTCCCTGCTCATGCCATATGGTGCTATTTCCTTAACTGCAAAGTGTGTTGGCCTTGGTCCAACGTGAAGAATTGGAAGTGAAGCCTCTCGTCCCGATAGCAGTGAACACGCGAAGTCTTTAGATGGTTGCATTAAACTCTGATCACCGGATGGGAAAGGTGCTTGCTTCTCCATGTCCATGGGAACGGTTCCTGACGCTGCCCATGCCCTATGCTTAATCTGTCGGAAGTCGAATTTGTTTATTTTTTTTTGTGCACAGAGTTAACAGAAAGCCCTTTTTGAGTCGTTTCAAAATTGTTACATTTTTTTCAGTCTTTAAGACTTTCAGTCCAACGCAGTCCTCGAGTTTAGCTCACGAAAAGGCGAGGCAGTGATGGCCAGGGCTCAGCTCTTTGTAATCCAAATAAAACCAATCCGTATTAAGTATTTTACTTTGACTTATTAAGAGTCGTTAAGGCTAATCTTGCTGTAGAATGCATATCCCTTCCGCCCCCGCTGTTCGTTTTTTGCAATTCGGCAAAATTCTCCTTCGCCAAAATTTGAGCAACGAGTCTTGCACCGTTGCTCTCGTATTCCGTTTTCTCGCAAGGACATGCATGGCACCATTTTAGCAGCAACTTTTTCTGTCGAAAGGCAAGAAAAATCTCGATGACATGAAGTATCGAGCGGTAGAACGAGATTCGGAGGTAAAATAACGAATCATGACCGTAGACGGGGAAATGGTGGAAAGGCCGAATCACGTAGTACGAGGGAAAAAGTGGAGTGCGTCTAGCATTTCCTCCCCAGTCTGGCGTTGATATCCGCATGAACTCATTCCACATTCAAGCTAGAGTATGATTCGCACTGGCCGGAGCGGGTGTGGGAGATTCAACGAGGAGCACGCATAACGCAAGACTGAAGCGCAAATCCCTGGTCTGCTCTAAACTGAGATTTTAACATTATGGAAAAGAGGGATGTATGGTGTAAGTAATTAATTAGTCACTAATCGGTTGGATTATCGCTTCGCTGCTTACAACAGAACGAAAATTGGACGACAAGAGATTGAAAGTTGGATTCGGAGGTCCAATTGGTTTGAGAAATCAACCTTGCCAAACCAAAAAAAAAGGATATGACGATTTCTTCGGGAGATTCGAAATTGATAAAGATATGACAAAGTGGAAAATATACGGTGCGGGATCTGCAAGGGGGAAAGTGGCGAGAATACCGCCTTCAAAGGCAGACAGAAACATAAAAACCAGGGGGAAAGTCAGGTATCTTTGGCAAATCGGTGCAACAAGAGGACCAAAAAGGAACAATTTGGGTATGTAGGCCAAAATGTCCAGCCATGACTCCGGCTCTCTCGTCCGCTCACGAAAATGAAGGAAGATTTCCATTCGACGGGAAAGTTGCCTCTACCTGGGAATGGCTCCATTTCGTTTGAATTTTAGAGGCAATTTCGCGGAAATAAAAGTACCATCAGCATATCATGACTTTGGAAGTATTTTTTCCATACTCAATTGAACTCAAATTTTCATCGCGCGATTCCTTAATTTGTCATGGAAAGGGTTAAAAAGGAGAGGACCAGGCCAGGCTGGTCGGAGAAACTCCGACCCAACGTGGCCATATTTCAGCAATCTTTGATCATTTGAATAAGTCCTCTGCTGATTATAAGGAGCTTATTACGATAACTTATTAGAATAAATTTGTATATAGCGCCAGCAGAACCACCGTTTGCTTTAGCTACGTTTTTCGTGCAAGTTAACCACGTCACGATTGGCCTGCGAGTATGTGTGATAGTGCGCATTTTACTGCGGTGTGCAGTGGCAGGAATAGAGCAAAAAAAAAAACAAAAACAAAGAAACACCGGGGTAGCATGGGAGACTTTATCAAGACGACGATGCAGCCCATCAGAAAGGAACAGGGAGATGGAGAAGTCGCGCAATCCAAAATGAAACTTTGTCACAACCGCAAGAAGCATCATAGAGGCCACTTATTTCGCAGCAAGCGAATTCCGCTGGTGCAGCATGCATTATTTCAGTCAGAAAGCTGAAATGATGAGCAGGTACCCGAAAGTGTCTCTGGCTTAAAGACATGCTTACAGGGCTTAAAGGCATGCTTAAAGGGCTTAAAGACATGACGCTCCAGGACAAACGTTGTGGAATGCCCACAACGAATGCGACATGAAGCAGTTTCGATCCACACGATGGCTGCTGTGCCAAATGCTTTGGATTTTAAGCCCGCAGAACAAAACTTTTCTTGGGTCTTTTCGCAGCGAGCAGCAAAGATTTCTTTTGGGTTGCGCGACATCTTCATCCTCCTGGAGGATCCAACATCGCATTGATGAAATTTAACTCTCTAACTCCATAGATAAACGAATTCAGAATGCGGTTGCATCTACTGCAACCTTGAACGATTTAGTTCCTTCAAGATGAAGGTTAATCAGAATTTCATCGCAAGAACTCGTCAAAGAGCGGAACAACACAGTAAGCAATGTCATATTTCACTCTTCGTCAGAGGATGGTCATTGGCTCGTTGTTCCCCAGTTGGAATTCCAGCCTTGAGGAAACCATTCCATCTGGCTTCAGAACGTCTTCCGTAATGATGGCTATCTTCTCGTTCGCCTCTGCCCCCTCCTATTCCTTAACTGGTGACTTGGTCTCGCGAGGGCCTGGGGAGCAAAGAAAGGATGACGCCTCTCGAAGGGAGAACTCGCGAAGGACTCGATCGGACTCGCGACTGACGGAGCTTGAAAGGTAGAATTTGTGTGATGGGGATCACGATCCACTCGTCCATGAGGGGGAAGATCACCTTCTCCAGTCCCAGGAACGGAGACTCGAACAAGAGGGAGAAGACGAACGCACCCATCTCCGTGATTGCCAGGATCCCCGGGAACCAGTACACCTCAATGCACACGCACCATACCATACTAAAGTCATCCTGTTGAATCTCCGACACAATGGATCTGTATTGTACCAATGCTCTCCCATTTCCCGGATATTTTCAATATTGAACAATCCTCATATTTTTAATTCATTTTCCATCGAGTTTCATGAAACTCTCCCAGTCTTCTTTGATTTGCGACTTCTTATTTCCACCAAAAGACGTTATATGCTGGAAAGAGCAGGGGTATACGAGAATGTGGAAAATATACCATTGTGGGATGATCCAAGTAGCCGACGTGCTTTCGGGAACTCTGGTAGATGATCTGGATGTTGAGAGAAAGCAGGTAAATGCAGTAGGTCAATCGGCTGAAGGGGATCAGCGCCTTCCAAGACAGGATCTTGTTCAGTCAGCCAACCACCCAAAACCGTCCTTATCAGGACCACCTGCTTTTACAAGTGAGTCCATCTCCTCCTCTAAAAATATGCCAACTCAACATAGAGGGCATATCTAGGGCCAAGGGAGAAGTCTTGTCGAGAATATTGGCCCCCATGAAGATAAACGTCCTGCTTCTGCAGGAAACAAGTCCGTCCTGGAGTCCGTCCAGGTCCAAATCTGTTGAATGAGAATTTTTCAAGGACGATAAGAAAGGATTTGCTTTATTGTAAAGCCCACTGTGAGAAGCGGGGAGTGGCACCTTGCTGCTTGGCTCAAAGAATTACAACTTACACTGTCGAGAACAGCTATGTTCTCATATTTTGGGAGTTTTAAAATTTTCGGTGCATGCATGAGGTGTGTTGGGAATGTTGGCACTTTAAGCTAATTTTTCACTTTCACCTGGTCTGGTGGTTTCTGTGACGGAACTTCCTCGTTCGCGTTGGTTCGGGTCATACCTCTATTGCATACTTCCTGGGCTTTTCCTTATTGAGGGCCTAGGTCGAAGGTGAAGTTGGGTCGGATGGAGGGAATCTCAGCACACCTATCGCTGTCGTTTATAATGGACTTCAAAAAGAATGCAAGAAAGTAATAAAACAATTACTAGTGTGGAGGGGAGAACGGAAATGTGCAAAGCTTAGCAAAATTATCAGATTTCGCGGGATTTTTGGAGCGAGCTTAGAGATGGGCAACCACTGCGAGAAAACTACAACAGCGAACAGGGCTGTTCCAAGCACGTAGTTCCACCATCTGATAATGGACTTTTCGTACTTAAGGGGATTGGTAGTAGAAGCAGTAAGTTGACGATCGCAAAGTGCCGAGATTACCCCAGTGCCGGCATTCGCAGCACTCACCCTATGTACACAATCCCACAGACGCGCTAGTCTTTGACTCAATCTGCTGAGTCTGCGATTTCGAGAGCAAATATCGGATGTATTTTCCACGATAAATCAGATCGAAGAGTCGATAAATCAGATGAATGTGTTTCCTTCGTTGATTCCGAAATCCTTCGATGGCAATGCCGTTTGAAAAGAAATTTAGAACTACTTCATTACATTTTGGAGCAATTACGAAGTATAACAACTTTGTAAAAGCAAAATGATACAATTTAGTTATGTCCACGATAGCATAACTTCTACAGTAGCCTGTGCAGATAATCCAATCGAGAATCGTTGCCCATTGGCTTTTAATAAGAAAAGAAACGTCCATGGAACTAAATCATCAGTTTCGTTGGAGTGAGTGAGTGGAGTGAGTTACTTGGATATCGATATTTTAAAGTTAAAAATGAGAGGGATGCAAACCCTGTTTTAGATCCGGCAGCCGACGAAGGATTCCCTCCCATTCCCGAAGAACCCGACTCCTGGTGAAAGAATCTCTGGCAACGCGAGACGAAGGACTCAGTCCGGAGCCCGAGTTGCGACCCCCCAGGGCAATGGGCAGGAGTTCTGGATGATGAGGCTTGGCCTGAACCCCTGCGGCGGCAAGGCTGAAGAACAGGATACCCGCGCAACCTCCCTTCCACCCCATTACGAAACTGCACCCGCTCGAGTGTTGTTTGGACCAGTTCCGTCTCTATCGTCGTCTCTCGTCTGTTGATATGGATTATCTGCGGCGTGGTCTTCGTTCAACAACTCGAATGCCTCTTGATCAAAGTCGATTTCACTATGGACTTTGTTTTGGGTGTTCCGCGTGACACTGAACTGGGAATCCCAGACGTGCATTAAGAAACTGCGAACCGACTTGGTTCTTCATACCTTATCCAGACTTTTACTGCTATAGAGCAAAGACTCATTTGAAGTCTGGTTTGCTATTAAACTTTGCCATCCAAAATAAGACATCAAAGGTTTAAAATATTTAACAGGAAGGAGCATAAAGGTAGGGCTGGGTAAAGAAATGTATATCCTTTCGTTTCAGTCTCTTTTTTTTTAACTCAGGGTATTTTGCTTCCGTTTCTAGTCTGTTGCAGTGTCACCTGTTTCTTTTATTTATTTATCAGGAAATATTGCAAATTGAAGTAAAAGCTAAAAAATGGGTTCAATGAGCAGGAAATCGCTCCCAATTTCTATTCTCCAGCATAATCTCATCGTGTAGGCTTGAACGCAAGGAGCTCATAAAGAACCACTGTCAAAAAAGGAGTCACTTGTGTGGTGGGGATTGCTGCGACACACTCTGGAGGTTTCTTTTGTCGACGGAGATGCCTTCCTCCCCCCCCCCCCTTTTTTTTTCTGTGATTGGAGCCTGGAACCACAAGGCTAGCTACCTTTTACCTACCTAAAATTTACATAATGACGTCAGAGAAAATGGCTGACCAATTGCGGTGGGCTGATCATTTTCTATATTCATTTGCCGATATCATTCAGTCTGTCCATAGTTGCCATAGAAACCCTGGTGCATGAACTGCGCTTGGCCTTGGTCGCGGTGCTACGTCAATGATGAGAGCTGCCTTCCAGCCCGAGGAGTCCATTGTTGGGCAACAAAAAGCCTCAATTCAGCAGCGTAGCTGAAGACGTGCGATGTCTTGTCTGGATTTTACTCTTCTCCCGTTGTCCATGTTGACTACCCGAAGACTGAAGGAGAAAAAATAACTTCCCAACCGTTTAAGTCGATGGACAATCTGTCCGTACCAAGGTCAAATCTATTTATCTCCACCATGGCCCCAACCTTGAGTTTGCTTCTCTGAAAATTTTTGCTTTCCATTCAGTCGATTCGCAATTACCGTAGCAGCCATTGCGGTTAGTATCATCTGTGCACGGACCCCTTTGCTACTGTATTTTCAGAACCAGTTTAAGCTTCACCAGTAACATTTTTGGTAGCAGATCTGATCTCAAAAAGGCGTCGATGGTGACCAGAGGAACATTGACTAATTGAACGGCAGATCTGCTACTGAGTTGATACTTCAGTCGAATTTAAAATCATCATTAAAATCATGTCCTCGATGAAATTCCTGGATTGGACTTGATTCGAAAGGCAAATTTAAGACAAGGAACGTTTGGGTTTTATTGCTTTGACAAAAATACCAGCAAAGGAGATAATCGGAGCGAGAACCCACTCGTCCAAGAGGGGGAAGATGACCTTCTCCAGTCCCAGGAACGGAGACTCGAACATGAGGGAGAAGACAAATGCACCCATCTCCGTGATGGTCAAGATCCCCAGGAACCAGTACACCTGGTTCATGACAAAAGGAACTTTCAACGTTTCTACTTTGAAAATCGTTTACGGTGACTGATCCGTGGTGGATGTTGCGACGCTCACCATTTGCGGGTGGTCCATGTACATGACGGCCTTCCTGCTTCCTTGGTAGATGAGCTGTATGTTCAAAGATAGGAGGTAGCTGCAGTATGTGAGGCGACTGAAAGGCATCAGGGCCTTCCACGACAGCAGCGTATTCACGAACCCTGAAATGGAAAACGGTTTCTCCTCGAGTAATCTTCACGGTACTTTGAAGGCTTGCTCGTTTTCCAACCCTTCGTACTGCCTTGATAGACTCGAAGGTTTGAAGGCAGAAACGGAAGAAGTGGAAAAGAATAGCATTGACGAAAGACACCACTGCACTTGTCCGATGCGGAAATAAGGACGCAAAAGCATTTTTGAAATTAAATAAGGTTCATACGTCGACAGATGGGATCGGGTAGGTAAGAGTGGGGCTCGTCGCAAAGGTCTTGGCCAGAACATAGATAACCCTTCGGCTCTTGAAATGACCCCAACGCAATGTTCGAGTTCGAAGTAGTGCGTGCACGCACAGAGTCATTGCGTTCGTTCCTAATATACAGGGTGACCCAGAATTAAGTGAACCTTCCGCCTAGTCTACGGCCTAGAAAGGCATAATCTTCAAGGTCTCGCGCGTTAGGCTATGGTAATAGAGGCTTGGGTCAGAGCGGCCGGAATACGAAACCCCTTATATTCCGTCGATCCTGGGACACCCTGTATGTAATATATGAAATATTCAAACTCACAAAGTCCTAGTTCAAAAGAAGACTGTCCTGAAAGTAGAGGCCCCGTGCATCCTCAGAAGTAGGTCATAAGCCTCACCATGTATAGCATATACTGTATAGGGTTAATGTGTTACCCCGCACCCTGAAGTGTGTGCATGTTTGTCCCTGGACAGCCACCCTGAAGGGTACACATGATCAACACGAAACTCGGGTGAGAATGCTGATCTTGGAGCTCGGCATCCGTGGCGATTGCATGGCGACCCCTCTACAAAAGCCTTGTTCACTTTCAAGATAACGTCAGCGTCTTTGATGGAAAGCATCCACCTCTGAGCATTCCCCTCCATGAGCATGGCCGAGGTGAATGAGCAAAATGGGGCGATGACTCCAGACTTTCAGGTGACGAGACTTACGCATCTCCGGCGGTGCTCATATATACCCACTTCATAGCAAGGAGAGCCTACACCCTGTTAAGAGTGCTATATGCGTCTCAAGGCCCCATCACACGCTATGATTTTGCTCATATATGACTGCTCCCATATGAGCTATGAGCTCTTGTAATCAGGGCCTATGAGCAGCTCATAGACTCACATATGAGTGGGATACCAACTCATAGACCCTGACTACACGAGGTCATAGCTCATATGGGAGCAGTCATAGCAAATCATATTGTCATATGAGCAAAGTCATAGCGTGTGATGGGGCCTTCAGGAAGGGGCTGAACACGTAAGGGTGACCATGCGCCTCCAAGTGCAAGCACGCACACACTTCACTCACCCTATTAATTGCCTCCTGCGACAAAACCCTCTTCTGGGGATTACAGGTTTAAGAAACAGGTGGAGTCAGATGATGTTTGAGAGAAGAGGTTTAGAGTCTCCTGCACCTTGTCACCTCATCGTGTAACTAATCTGGAGTTCGCCACTCGGCAGCCATATAGGTTTAGTCATCTATCAGCTCTTGTTTTCAGATTTATGTCCTTTCTTCTTTTCATCTCCAATAGGTCCAAGCGCAACAGACACAAGAAAGCGTTAGGTCCCTTTTCAATACTGACTGACTGACTGACTAAACCAACAATAATTCTCATATCTATTCAAGCTCCGTCCCTTCCGCTAGTAAAAAAAAGCACAAGAAACCGATCCCCAGTCATGAGGCTCCATCACACGCTATGATTTTGCTCATATGAGACTGCTCCCATATGAGCTATGAGCTCGTGTAATCAGGGTCTATGAGTTGGTATCCCACTCATATGTGAGTCTATGAGCTGCTCATAGGCCCTGATTACACGAGCTCATAGCTCATATGGGAGCAGTCAATAAGAGCAAAATCAGCGTGTGAAGGAGCCTACTATAAGCATAGGCAATCGACATGTCACCTCCGTAGCCATAGACGCAGGCGAAGACGACCCAGGCGATGCACATGGCCCAGACCGTCCGATGAACGCCTCCATAGAAAGCAGCCATCTCAGGCGTCAGCTTTTCACCCCCAAACCTGAACGGTTCTTTCAGGCCGTACAGAATGGCCAGCGCCACCCCAGTAGACAGAGCCCATCCGAGCCATACCACCTCCTGGACCAAGTCAGAAGCATTCGGGTTTCATTTCATTTTTTTATTTCAAATTCCCTTGAGAGTTAAATTTATTTAAATTGTCTTCGGCCTTTACCTTGCGAAGTTGGATCTTCCTGTCCTTGAACTTGAAGAGGATGTAACCGAGCATGATACCCACGATATAGGGCCCCGACCTCACATGAGTGGCGAAGTACGCCCTGGTCGAGAAGTCTGGAGAGTCCATGAGCTGGTTCGGAATGATGGTGGCAGGGAAGTCGTTGTTCCTGTAGAAGATGCTGGGCCAGACGAAGCCCATGCCCAAGAGGACCATGCTCAGGTAACCCAGGGCGACGTACATGGGCATATAGAAAAGGGGTACCACCAGAAAAGGACTGGCCCAATACATATGCATATCGCACGCCAAGTACCACGTCTGCGTGGAAGAAACCAGGGATTAGAGGAGATTTTAAGGGGATAAGAGAGGATTAGAGAAGAGATGTCAAAAGACGTTGTATCATCCATTCTTGTTCACGTATTTAAGAATTTATATTAGATTTTTATTCTTATTTAATTTACCTTCCTTTACATTTCTCCTATTTTCAAAACGTATCGTTTTCATTTTTTATATCCTTTTTTTTTTACCTGTCCCACACAGGATCCATACTCCCCATCGATCTCGATGTTGAAGAGATAGAAGACGGTCCTCCACCAGCTCTTCCGGCATATCTCGGCCGTGGACTCCATCCCGCCCCAGAGCGGCCCGCTCCCGACGAACCGGGCCAGCGTGGCCATCAGCGCCACCGTCATGGCCAGGGCGGGCGTGAGTCGGATGAATCGATGGAGGTAGTAGAGGACGGGGTTGAACTTCCCGTTGCTCCGCTTCAGGTCCCTCAAGAGGATGTAAGCCACCAGGAGCCCGCTCAGGAAGAAGAACGTGTCCACGGACACAGTCGCGTTTGCGATCGCCATGAACGCCCAGTTGTCGAACATCTAAAATTAAAACACTTGGCGTAAAATAGAATGTAATCGTGAAAATTATATATTAGCGAAAACCTTTTCAAATTGGAAAAAAAACTTGCACTCATCAGAAAACTACAGTTTTGCAAATTCAGTGAGTGAAAATCCCTCAAAGAAAGCAAGAACGAAGTTTAAATCTTTGGCAAACACGCTCGAGATATCTCGTTGCCAATGTTTGCCTTAGCCAAATGCAGAAGCAGATTCAACCTTGGGCTCGGGATAGCCTTACATTTTATTGTGGAATCTCTCAAGAACGGGAAGGTCTGACAAGGCAATTCACAATGGCATAGCAGAATACTTTTTGAAATGGACAGCCTGCAACGAGGACAGTGGAGACTGTCTCCGTGGCAAAGCGGGCTGGACCTCCGACCGGGCTCTGACCAGGCTCCGACCGGGCTCCGACCAACCCTTGCGCATTGGTCTCACGAAACGTCTTAAGGTTTCAGGTTCTCTCTTCCTCGAGGATCCTCTCATCACATTGTGCATTGCCGTGTCTGAATATGCGATTGGATTCCTCGGTTAGAAAGTTGGGACAGGGACAGTGAACTTGCATCGCGGGTAGCAGACTGCAGGTTCTTGAACAGAGGCGCGAAGGCGGTGAAGTAGGTGTGACCCAGGACCACCCAGGTCATCGAATAAAACCTGAAAAAAAGTCGAGGGAAACATCATCGTCTGAGTTTCGTATTCCGTCCTAAAGACCGAGAATCGACAACCCTTTACGACATGGCATCTGGCACGTCCGTCGGCTCCCAGAGCCTGCACGAAAGGCATAAGTCCTAAAAGAAGGGCAAGCACATTCGGCTCTTGCTATGCTCAGCCATCACGCCCTTGTCTGCGATTTGAAATGGAAATTTTTCGATCATGAAGGAAATTAACCGATGAGAGTGAATTATGAATTGAGGTTCCTTGCCTTTCTTTTGATCGGTCCAGAGATCAGGTCGAGCCTGGATTCGAAGGTCCAACAACGTCCCACAGGCTATGAGAACCGCAAACACCACAATTATCGACCTGTGATGATGGGCAAGAAGATTCGTTATTATGATGGAGATATATATTTATAGATATATATAAAGTGAGACGATGGATGTTTTACAGGACGACGATGTCGGCCGTGGTGAAGTGGGTGGAGGGGTCGCTGGGGTCTTTCTGGATGTAACACATTTCTGGTCTCACGACGGGGTAGATTTGAGAGAGGAGGAACTCGATTTCGGTGGAATTCACGGCCAGGACCGCGACCAAGGTCGACACTACACCCTAATTCAGGAAAATCAATTTGTAAAGAATTTCGCTAAAACAAATATGGTTTAATAAAAGAAAAGAGTCTATTCCTCATCCTCCCAAACACCCTGGTCAATTGAGGCTCGTGGTAAAATGCTTTGCATTGTCATAACTGGAGCTGTCGACGAATAATACTCACCGAAGGTCATGGGAGGGGGGGGGGGTTTGCTTTTCCACGAAAAATTAGACAGATTCAGAAAGAGTTCCTTCACTCGCTTAGCAACTTTAGATGAGAAGCTAAATAATCCTCGATTTTTCTAAATAATAGAAATTACCCTCAAATTATAATATTTCTGAACTATGGTGCCGGAGTACTCATAGCTGCACTCATAACCAGAAAAAAATATATATATATAATAAAAATAATAATAAACAGAAAATAACTCGTGAAACAGCAGATAAAAAAGCCGGGGAGAATGTGAAGACATACCCTGTGGTGTCGCCTGAACCGTGGAATTTTGGAACAGAAAACTTACAAGATGCGGGAAATATGAAAAAATTAGAGTGCTGCATGATGGGTTTTCAGAGCGAAGGAAAGGGTCTCATCGACCGACCATTTCAGCTTTGAATGGAAACGATTTTATGCGATTCCACGAAGACTTCGCCGAGTTTCTATCGAGCTAAATGGAAAGAGACGAAAGAAGTCGCGTAGCGGGCCTCCATTCTATGACTGCCGGGAAAGGGAAGAGAATGCTGCAGGTAGGAGGCGGGAGGGGAGGACGACGAGCAGCACTGCTGCTAGCAACCCTGCCTCCGCTTGCCACATCCTGCCCTGACCCTCTTTTCCTCAGTCAACAAATGTCAGCTACGACGATTGGAAGGAAGACAACACTGGCTGGTGGCATGACGCACTGCCCCGAGACGTCCGATGCGCATGCGCCATGAGGTCAAAATCCAGGAAAGTTAGCTCATGTCTTTCCCGCTTGGCGAATTTCAAATCCATAATTTCCGATAAGGGTTTTCCTTTGAGAAGGAATTCCTCCAGAGTGTTCTGAGTGTTTCTGCCAGTCCTCTTCCTGCTCTATTTCTCCTGCCGTGGGGCAAGAGATACGATCGCCAGATAAAAAATCAGCAGCGTTTCCGCGGAACGGTACGCCATATATTGGCCACCCAATACCCAGGCTCGATTAAGAACAAGATTCTACTCCGAAATAACTTTTAGTACTGACCTGTATGTCCCCGGGAGAGCAGGTGGAAGGCATGCAGAGGCCGAACGAGGGCGGTGCCATGAGGAAAACCGTGAGGAAGTCCTCCGACGTGTCCAGCATTCCCATCCGGGCTTCCGGTATCGACGGCAGGAGTTTCTCTGTTGTGTGTCTTCCTAACATGGATCTGTGCAAAACCTCTCTCATTTCTTCATCGTAAGAACCGATCGAAAGTACCCGCTGAACTGCAGACGTGGTACACTTTGCACCGCGAAGGCAAGTTTGCAAAATGAATATCGCATTGAAATTGTAACTTTTTAACTGCGCATCTCTGTGCTGCACTCGGCTCAAAAAATGCTTCATGACGACGGAAAATTTTTNTTGGCAAACACGCTCGAGATATCTCGTTGCCAATGTTTGCCTTAGCCAAATGCAGAAGCAGATTCAACCTTGGGCTCGGGATAGCCTTACATTTTATTGTGGAATCTCTCAAGAACGGGAAGGTCTGACAAGGCAATTCACAATGGCATAGCAGAATACTTTTTGAAATGGACAGCCTGCAACGAGGACAGTGGAGACTGTCTCCGTGGCAAAGCGGGCTGGACCTCCGACCGGGCTCTGACCAGGCTCCGACCGGGCTCCGACCAACCCTTGCGCATTGGTCTCACGAAACGTCTTAAGGTTTCAGGTTCTCTCTTCCTCGAGGATCCTCTCATCACATTGTGCATTGCCGTGTCTGAATATGCGATTGGATTCCTCGGTTAGAAAGTTGGGACAGGGACAGTGAACTTGCATCGCGGGTAGCAGACTGCAGGTTCTTGAACAGAGGCGCGAAGGCGGTGAAGTAGGTGTGACCCAGGACCACCCAGGTCATCGAATAAAACCTGAAAAAAAGTCGAGGGAAACATCATCGTCTGAGTTTCGTATTCCCAGGATTTCTGGCTCTTAGCTGTTGGGAAATGCTGTACCGTAGACCGTGCAGGCAGCCGAGGGTCTCGGACGTGCTTTCCGTATTCAGGATTTTCTTCCCGTTCGTGTAAGCCGAGAACGATACGAGGGCCATCACGCCCTTGTCTGCGATTTGAAATGTGGGAAATTTTTTTATCATGAAGGAAATTAACCGATGAGAATGAATTATGAATTGAGGTTCCTTGCCTTTCTTTTGATCGGTCCAGAGATCAGGTCGAGCCTGGATTCGAAGGTCCAACAACGTCCCACAAGCTATGAGAACCGCAAACACCACAATTATCGACCTGTGATGATGGGCGAGAAGATTCGTGATTATGATGGAGATATATATTTATAGATATTTATCAAAGTGAGACGATGGATGTTTTACAGGACGACGATGTCGGCCGTGGTGAAGTGGGTGGAGGGGTCGCTGGGATCTTTCTGGATGTAACACATTTCTGGTCTCACGACGGGGTAGATTTGAGAGAGGAGGAAATTGATTTCGGTGGAATTCCCGGCCAGGACCGCGACCAAGGTCGACACTACGCCCTAATGCAGGAAAATCAATTTGTGGAGAATTTCGCTGAAACAAATATGGTTTGATAAAAGAAAAGAGTCTATTCCTCATCCTCCCAAAACACCCTGGTCAATTGAGGCTCGTGGTAAAATGCTTTGCACTGTCATAACTGGAGCTGTCAACGAAGAATACTCACCAAAGGCGCAGTTATGAGGTGGGGAATATTGCTCTTCCACGAAAAATTAGACAGATCCAGAACGAATTCCTTCATTCGCTTAGCAACTTTAGATGAGAAGCTTAATAATCCTCGATTTTTTTCGAAATAATAGAAATTAACCTCAAATTTTTATATTTCTGAACTATGGCGTCGGAGTATTCAGCCAGAAAAAAAAGATAAAATATATATTATAATAATTACAATAAATAAAATAATATTAAAAAAAAATAAAAAAAAACAGAAAATAATTCGTGAAACAGCAGATAAAAAAGCCAGGGAAAAAGTGAAGACATGCCCTGTGGTGTCGCCTAAACCGTGGAATTTTCGAACAGAAAACTTACAAGATACGGGATATATGGAAAATTAGGGTGCTGCATGATGGGTTTTCAGAGCGTAGGGAAGGGTGTCATCTACCGACCATTTCAGCTTTGAATGGAAACGATTTTATGCGATTCCACGAAGACTTCGCCGAATATCTATCGAGCTAAATGGAAAGAGACGAAAGAAGTCGCGTAGCGGGCCTCCATTCCATGACTGCCGGGAAAGGGAAGAGAATGCTGCAGGTAGGAGGCGGGAGGGGAGGACGACGAGCAGCACTGCTGCTAGCAACCCTGCCTCCGCTTGCCACATCCTGCCCTGACCCTCTCTTCCTCAGTCAACAAATGTCAGCCGGAAGGGAGACAACACTGGCTGGTGGCATTACGCACCGCCCCAAGCCGTCCGATGCGCATGCACCATGAGGTCAAAATCCAGGGAAGTTCGTTAGCTCGTGTCTTTCCCGCTTGGCGAATTTCAAATTCATAATTTCCGATAAGGGTTTTCTTTTTGGAAGGAATTCCTCTAGAGTGTTCTGAGTGTTCCTTCCAGTCCTCTTCCTGCTCTATTTCTCCTGCCATGGGGCAAGAGATACGATCGCCAGATAGAAAATCAGCAGCGTTTCCGCGGAACGGTACGCCTTATATTGGACACCAAATACCCAGGCTTGACTAAGAACAAGATTCTACTCCGAAATAATTTCTTGTACTGACCTGTATGTCCCCGGGAGAGCAGGTGGAAGGCATGCAGAGGCCGAACGAGGGCGGTGCCATGAGGAAAACCGTGAGGAAGTCCTCCGACGTGTCCAGCATTCCCATCCGGGCTTCCGGTATCGACGGCAGGAGTTTCTCTGTAGTGTTTTCTCCTAACATGGATCTGTGCAAAACCTCTCTCATTTCTTCATCGTAAGAACCGATCGAAAGTACCCGCTGAACTGCAGACGTGGTACACTTTGCACCGCGAAGGCAAGTTTGCAAAATGAATATCGCATTGAAATTGTAACTTTTTAACTGCGCATCTCTGTGCTGCACTCGGCTCAAAAAATGCTTCATGACGACGGAAAATTTTTTTTTGGAATCGGGACATACGGCGGATAGAAGGAGATGAGGCAGTAGTGACCCTGGAATTTCCTCTCCATCAGGTCGGGCTCCGGAATCAGACCTCCGAGCATCAAATTCATCAGCTGAAGCGTCTGAATGATCTCCTCTGTGATCTCGGCCCGGACGTCCATGCATTCGTCGTAGCTGCCCCATTCGTACACGTTCCCCTCCATGATCCCGTCCGGGATCTTCCCCATCGCGTCCAGCACTGTGCACGGAGAGCATCAGTGGCATTGCGATCGAACGAGATGCACCGTAAAGAAGTGTTGTTCGGTCGAGACGACCGAAGTGTGGGGGTACGAAGTAGCTCGGAATGAAACAGGAAAAGAATTTAGAATTTAGAATTTAGAATTTAGAATTTAGAATTTAGAATTTAGAATTTAGAATTTAGAATTTAGAATTTAGAATTTAGAATTTAGAATTTAGAATTTAGAATTTAGAATTTAGAATTTAGAATTTAGAATTTAGAATTTAGAATTTAGAATTTAGAATTTAGAATTTAGAATTTAGAATTTAGAATTTAGAATTTAGAATTTAGAATTTAGAATTTAGAATTTAGAGTAGTAGCATGATTCCATCATGTGAAATGTAATAACTGAAATGAAACACCGAAGTCACTGAACATCAATACATCCAATGATATGGAGATTGGTGTAATCGATTTTGGGAATGACTCCCTATTCCCATTGGAATTGATCCGAAAAATGTAGGTTATGAATACGAAAAATCCAAGACTTCTTTCAAACTCCTGCAAGAGCAGGCATGAAGCAGATTTCAAAACACAGGCAATAAAAGCGTCCGTAAGCACGAGGGACGAAGACTTTTATAAACGGGAGGGAGGCGAGAAGTGAGATTCTCCAAAGAAATAAGAAAAGCTAACTGAGGAGGGGCCAGGTGCCATTGAAGGATGAAATGGGAAGCTCCAAGTCTGGTAAGCCCGGAAAGGTCAGTAAGCCCAGATTGTTGGCAATTGCGAGGAGATAGGAGATGACGTGGACCGTGCACACCTGATTCGGCAACTGACTCAATGCAGGCAGCAGTGCCAGTAGTGAATCCGGGTCTAAGGGAAAAAATTTTAGAAGAAACGAGGATTGCCGCGTGTTCCCTTCCCGGAAAAGGCCTCATGTGAAAGTGATCTCTTGTTTCAATCGATCGTGATTCAAGTTCATTTTAAAACTTCTGATTAAATGTCTCAGCCAATGTCTTCAGAGGACGTTGATCTTATTCAAATATAGATTTTTCGCGCGAGAGTTTGAAAATGTTTTGTTTCCTTTAAAAAAAAAAAGACGTTTCTTTAAAAGTTCGCCTTTCAAAAAGGCGATTGACTTGCGCACCTCATTAAAGGTGAATAATTTTCGATACAACCGTTTGAAATCTTATATGAATCATTATTCCGTACTTGATCTGAAAACGTCGTAATGTATCAATTGTATGACGATGTATCAATTTTCTCTCCGATCATAACATCTATCATATAATATTTCACTTACGCCATTTACACTTATGACCATTACTTAGATTTCCCAAGCGACGTCTCACCTAGACCACTATACGGCCCCCGAGGTCGAATGAAGTTGGTGAATGCCCGCAGTTTCTGCTGCTGCAACTCCTCGTCGAAGAAAGGGTCGGCCGGAAGACCTCCCTCCCTCGGAAGGAGGTGACCAGGGTTTGCCTCCCCCGGAAGGAGTCCGTCTCGGAGCCGCCCGTCGCTCCCGGAACAGGGAACGAGGGCCAGCGAGGCCACGAGGGACAGGAGGGCCCAGCGCTGCATCGCACACACCCGGACTCTTTGGGCTCTGGGGAAAGCCTGGCGGCTGGAGGATGGCGAGGTAGGAGCGGAGGTCGAGTGCCTCGTCTTGCTGGGCGTTGCGACACGCTCCGTCGATAAGATTAGATGCATCACGAGTTACTGATGTTTCGACGTGACTCTGAATCGTTGTGCATATTAGGTATCGTGTTGAAATGACGAGTCTTCACGAGTACCGCCACGAAATCTCGAAAGTTTATCGCCCTCCGCTCTTAGAATTGTTTCTAGTCCTGTCGACGTGGCGACGTGCTGCGATGTACCCGAAGGGTCTCATCCGATCGTTGGTCCTTTGACAGCGGCTGGATCCTTCGAACTCAAATTTGTCTCTTTTTTTTGCGAACATCTTTTGGATCGTTTCGAAGGTCTGGTCTGTTTCTCAGCGTCGAGGATTCGTCTCGAATGAGTTTCCAAATGTTTTCATTCGCTGAGAGCCTTTCCTTTCTACTTATTTTTGAAAAATGTGGAATGCGCATGCGTCTATCCCCCCCCCCCCTCGCCTGGCATCAAGGTCCTCGTAGCCACTTACAAGTCCCTATCACTAATGTCACCTTGGCAGGAGTGAGAAATAAGATACGAACGACGCACTTATTACGTGATTCAAGACTGAAAGGAAAATTCGCCTTAGCAGCTACTTGAGCCAATGGCTTCTTTCATCGGATAGACGAAGCAACGCTGGACGGAAAATGTACAAAAATCCCTTTTCCCTATCGACCTTTTTAAGTGGATGGAAATTCGCCGCGTACATTTCGCGGAACGTGCACTCGATCGAGGAGCTCGACTCCGTTAGATACCAAAATTTAAAGTCCAAGAGAAGATGGACTCATGAAGATACGATACGAAGCGTCGACATAGGCTGTAAGGTGCAAGAGGTTCGGGGTCCCATCAATGCGGATTTACTCTCAAATCCCAGCTAATCCCCTCCTTCCCCCCCCCCTCCCCCCTCCCTTAACTTCACCCAACTGTATTGTCATCTGCGACCTTAAGTAACCTTGAGAGGTTGAATTTGACTCTCACAGTTGCTCCGGGTAAGCTTGACCCGATTTTGAGCTCCGACGTTGAACTTCATCAACGATCCACGTCTCGAGTCGGGAGTGCTTCGCGTTCGGGAATCTCTCTTCCTTGACACGTCCGGGACTCGCACTCGGAAAATGATCGTTGTCGACGTTGAACGTGTTGCGATCCGCGCATTTTCGCCATGGACGACCAGTGGCGTAGGCAGGAATTCGGCAAGGGGGACGGGAGGGGTTGAGGCCAGGTAGACACCCCAACCCTACGCCAAGCTCCACTACCCGGAATTTACCTTTTCAAAGAAATCATGGTCTGGCATCTTGGGTGTGTAGACGGACCTCAGACTTTACTCGAAGGGGCATAGCTAAAATTACAATTCCCAATGAAGGTTGAAATATGCCTGTCAGTGTCACTGACCGGGAAGCCCAAGGGGGGGTTCTAACCCCCTAAACCTCCCCCCCTTCCCTACGCCACTAGGGACGACTGCCCCTTCCGTTTCCGTGAATTCGGCAAGTATTCGGTGACCCGTCAGATAAATCACACGTTTTTAAGGAACGGTCCTTCGATCCATAGATGAATCAACGGCTGGTCGATCGACGCTTCGAGAAGATCGATGATTAGAGAAAAGGCATTCCGGTGAACGGTAGAGAGGGAAAGGGTGCGTCGAGAGCGATCCGAACCTTTTAGCATGCACCAAGGTAAGTGGAGCGTGGAGGACGAGAAGAGCAGAGACGGTATGTCCATGAGCCCGAGTGCATACGCTAATTCGAAAGGATGCCGATATAATGCATCGGTTATAGCGTCATGAGGAAGATAGGAACCTCCCGTCGCAAAGCCTCGGTAGGAAATGGCTACGTATGCGCAAGTTGTCCGACAATGCAAAGTTGTAAATTTTGCTTGCGCATGCGTATTGCATAGGTGCGCGCGGCGGCGCAGAGTATTCAAACTGCCCTGTGACTCTCTCGGCATGCACAGGTACGACGACGACGTGGTACAGGCGAAAGGATTTCTCGCTGGGCTGGGCCAGTTCCTTTCGTCTGGAGGAAAGACGAATGGAGATATCGGATAAAGGGGGAATCGCTACTCGAAACCGCTCTCTTTTTGAGGACGAACGATGATTGCCGTCAGACGGATTTGTGTCCTGCGGTGTCATTTGTGATAGAACGGAAGAATCGGCTGAAGGAAAAGTCAACTGCGAGTATCGAATCAAGAAAGGCAGGAAAGTGGGAAAAAACAAACGCGATGCAGAAATAAGAATTACGTGATAGGAATGCGTGCATCTCGGGGTCCCAAGTTTTCGACGCATCGATTCGGACGCAAGTCTCCGGGCTTTTTTTTTTCGGGTGACTTCATGGCGATCGTCGAGGTTTGATCAGAGGTTTAACTTATGCGGAGGCGTTCCTAATGAAGCGATTCGGGACTTGACATACGTGTCCGATTCGTCATGAAAAAGCCAACATTTTACGGCTGCTTCCTCATTGCAGTGCTCTCGTCCGTGCTGCCGTTGGGTCGTAGTTAAGGAAGACGTCACTGTGTTAAAGATCTGAAATGAAGAGTCGAAAAGAAAAGACTTCCGATTTCGTTGGAATCTAATTTCTTCCTGCTCCAAACGCACCATCGCATTTCCTTTCGAGAATACCATGCGAAAGTTGCCAATCGCGCTTTTCTTTGAGGAGAGAATTTTCTTTGAATACTGGAACCTCAGCAGCCGCACGTGGAAATTTTTCTTATTGGAGTTTGAATTATTCCTGCTTTTTATCCAAGCGATCCATCAAATTGCACTTTAAACTGTCAGGTGACATTCTTAATTACTTTCTCTGTGATGTGAAAAGAAATAAGGAAACTAAAAGGGCAAGGGCGGACGATTTCCCTTAAAGTAACCGTTTGTTTCCCTCCTAAAAATGGAAATTAATAAGTATTTTGCCACGCTCGAGAGTACTTGAGCGACTTGAAGTGCTCCCTGACTCATCTGAAGACTCCGTGAAACGATAACAGCGATCCTTCCACGATGAGACCGAAACTTCCGCTTTTGGAAGCGAAAAGTTTTTTTTTTTTACGAATGGAGATGGAATGAGCCGAGATATCGAGGCGAGTGGCCTTCATAACCTTTGATTTCGCTAGTCCACTCCAAACTCTCGATCGAAGGGTCCAAGGTTCAAGTTTGGATTGGAAACTTGATAAGGGATTTCTGGGGAGACTCGCGACACGGGATGAGGCGAAGATAATCCTGCCTCTTTAAAAATACGGGAGACCTCATTACGATTTTTTTTTTTGGTCGCTGTTCCCATTCGAGAACGCGACCACGTTCACCAGGGCATTTGCTTCCACTCTCAACCCATTAAGATGGCGTTCGATGTGGGAGGGTCACTCTGGAAACAAGTAGCTACATCTCGAGAGGTATCGGGTTATTGTATTGATATTAGTATGACGAATTCCAGTCCGTGTGGGCCAGCGACCACTTTGCACAACTGTACTTCGAAGTCGAAGAGTAACGGCGGTCTTCCTGTCGCAGTTTTTGCGTCCTCGAACCCTCGAGACTGAGCCCGCTCGTAAAGGCTTCAGGTCCTCGAATCTCACGGGCGCCTGGTGCAGGCATGGGGCGACGAATATCCCATATTTCAGCTTACACTTCCGCAGTTTCTATGCGGGTTCTTGAAGCGGGGTCGAGGCCTGCATTTAACTCCGACCAGGTCGACCTTCAACTGCAGTCACGACAGAAAACATCGAGTTGGTCCAGAAAATGGTTGGTAGAGACTTCCGATGGTTTTGGAGACGAGTATGGAGTGAAGGATGCCAATGTGGCTTTTCGCGCGTACGCCTAGCAACCCTGTCAAGAGCAGACCCTCTTTCCTATCGTCCAACATAACCATCCGTAAGGGCTGGAAATGAAGTGGATGTTTTAGACTTTTTAGCGGTCGACTAGTAATCAGACTCAGGTGGAAGGCTACACATTGCGCACAGAGTCGAGTTGTCCGGTTGCTATGGTAGTCGCGGACAGGCGTAATGAAAATAGAAAAAAAGTGACAGAGCGATCGCAATATCTTCCATTTCCCGATAGTACCTATGGGAATGGCAGGAAACAGCCGAAACAAAAAAAAGGAAGCGTCCTCAAAAGGAGATCACCGAGCTGAGGAATGTGACGAGTCTGGAGACGGAACGAAATATCCTGTGCCTCGTCCGAGTTTGGCGCCAGGGAAAAGACGAATGAGAGCCACCACACTAACTGGAGACGGAAAGGCGGAGAGCCTCAAGATCCAGCTAGGGGGAAAGGGACACTCTTCTCAACGGCCAGGAACAGAACGAATGGGGAAGGGCGGTCGGTGCTAACAGGTGCTGCTGGAAGTGCCTCTTCGAATGCCGCGACAAATGCACGAGAATGCTCCACGGGAAGCGCCACCGGAGTGCCTCACGAGAATGCCAAGAATTGGAGAAGGCTCCACTATTTAAAGGGGGGAACCAGGCAAGGCTGGTTGGAGAAAGTAGCCCTCCGGCTCAAGGTGAGGAGGGTCGGGTACGTGCCCCATGGAGAGGGCGAAAGGGTGAAAGGGGTCGAAGGGGTCAAAATGGCCTCTTCAGTAGATGACACAATCACGCAGCCACCGACCGAAGTCCATCGGGCCCGCAGTGTCGGGAAGGAAACGGTGGCCATTTTCTTCTCCCGTATGGGTCGTATCGCTACCATTCAACTTCAAAAGCAAATGCTGAATAGTACACAACTATTTGCTTGCCTGCTGTTTTTGAGGCTGTCCACCATCAACGCTCTACGACATTGTACACAGCTAAGAAAAATATGAACTTCCTGGCCAGTCAACACGTTCAAACATGGTCACGTCCTTCGTCTTTACCAGATTTGACCCCTTGTGACTTCTTGTTTCCCAAATGCTAAGAAAAACTCCGTGGTCGCGGATTTGAGAGCTCTGAAGGTTGGTTGCTTACCGGGACATTTTGGTTGACCTTGTCAACCGAAGAGAATTAGCGCAACTGCTTTCATTCTGGGTTACGACGAATGCAATTGTCCATAGATGCTTGAGGTGCTTATTTTGAGAAGCAGCGAAAATTTTTACCCGAAGTCTTCTATGTTAAGGGAACAGCTACGAACTTTCAGAGTGACCCTCGTATGCTGTTGATCCGCTGCATGAGGAAAATAAAGTGAATTATCATACGGCTATTAGGACTTTACGCCGGTAAGGGCATGTTCGCATTCAATCTTTTGTGCAAGGTGAGAAAGGTTGAAGAAACTTTGCGAAGAGGATGTGATAGTGTCATGTGAAATGTCTTCAAAATACAGGATGGAGCAAAAGTAGGTTTAGTTAATTAATTATTTATTTATTTACAAAACATTCTATTCTGGGAGATGTTCAAACTGGTGGCCATCACAGGTGACATTTCTGAAAACGGTCCTTGACATTTCTGCACACTTTCTGACACAGTTCCTTACTTTCATTAATTTCATTGAATGCATCTGTGCCATCAAACAGCTGTGTACCTACTTTTGCACCATCCTGTATCTCAGTAGGTTTTTCTATGCTCGGTTAAAGTCCATCAGCCTTGTGCGTCCCCCAGGGAAGGAGGCTGCTTGGGTGAGGAGGGCATTGGGGGAGACATCTGTGGGTGGAAGTGAGAAGCACGGTCGCGACCCTCCGTGTTCGATCTGTCTTCTCCCTTCAACACTCCGGTCTCGTTCGTTCAAAAATGGCATCGTGGAAAGCAGTTCACATTTCTTCCTCAATTCTGACTGTCTATGGAAGCTGCAACATAAGATTTCTAGGTATCACCTACAGATTTTAACCCTTTCAGACCTGGCATCCATTCCATTGGACATTGCATTTTCATCGAGTCTATGGTGATTTCTTGGGATTCTCATGACTTTGTGCTCCATATTACACTACAATTGGCGCAATAATGCATGGCTCAGTTCCATCGGAGACCTTCTTTCACCCGTCAGTTTGTAATCTTCCGTTATGTAATTATACTTATAAGATATTATATATGGTATAATATGGTAAATTCATACAAAATATAAAAACGATATGCAAAACAAAAATGTAAATCACAATAGAGAAAAAGCTCAAAAAAGCAAAACAAACATTGAATGACTCACTTTTCATATATGTGCGCCTAGTGGAAATCGAAGAATTAATAACGGTGCCATCTCATCCCGCGCAGCAAGAGAGCGACCAGAGTCCATGATGCCCAATGAAGTTTCACTCCCCCCCCCCCTTCTGCTTTCTTTTTATAATTTCCCAACGCTTGATCGCGATTGAATGTGTTGACGTGCCCAAATATGCAGCACAAGAAATCAAGACCTTAAAACTAAGCTTCCGATTGGCATCAGGAAACATGCACTTTCGAAAGAGGGACAAGTCGTTAATGGTCTTAAGGATGTGCTCCGAGAGCGCTACGTAATCTCTTGGTCACAGGAAGCCTGATAACGCCTTTAGACGAGTAATTTCTTTTCTTCTTCAGCAGAACACATGTTAATGAAAAAAATAAATGTCAAATTTTTTCTATGAGGGTGATAGCAAAACACCTGATGAGTAGATAGAGATGTGCAGGTCCACATTCATGCCGATGTAATCTTTTCTTAGAACCACGGATGGAAGGGGCAAGAATGAGATTTCCCCGTGACGGTGACGTGTAGGCCAATGGGAAACGGCCACTTAGATTGCATCAGGTGGCTGTCTCCGGACGCTAAAGTGCATGCAGTGAGTTGCATCGGCGCGAAGAGCCGCAAGGACGATGCCCTTGATACGGTCGAGGCGGGAGATGTAGGCTGCGATCGCGAGGTGCAACGCTCTGCATGAATATGAATGTTCTCGTGACCCGTATCGATAAGCGGCGCATGGGACATCATGGAGGAACAATTCTGGAAACTCATGAGCAGATATGGCCTTGGGATATGGTGGCGCATGTGCGTTTTGCCGATCGGTCGCCGTGTGAGATCAGAGTTTTTTGCTTTTGAAAATGTTGTTAAATTTGGAGGGGATTCACGGGAAACCACAGTATTCCACATTGCCAGAGCGCAGGGTTGCCATGGAGACCTAACGTCACAAGCCCTAGTAGCACTGAATCAACATTGAATCAATGTTGTTTCAATGTTATATGCTACTAGGGAGGATCGAGAAGGTCCATGACCACGACTCGTTCAACTTCAAGCACAGCACAGCACTGGCACAGAGAACTTCCTTCCTCTCAACCCTCCCCTTCATCCTCCCATGTGCGAAGTTAGTGTGGCAGTACAAGCAAGGGCAGTAGAGGTGAATTCTTTGGCAAGGGGGGAGGTGGTGGGGGGTGCCCTGCTTCAGCTTATCGTACAACTCGACTTTTTGCTGCAAGGCATAAGTCAGTTTTTTTTTCACTTTCAATAATGCTATTTGCAAAGATATGACAAGGGATAGTCATCGGGTTTCCATTTATGAAAAAGGGAATTTTGAGTCTTGCGATTGGCAATTGATGAGTATTATTAGCAAATTTAAAATGAGGTAGCCGAATTTCGGAGTAGAATGGGGCTTTCATATTCTGAAGAACATTATTTAAAACTTAATTTTTTTTTCCTTCAATGAACACTGCAGCGAGTATAAAATGAACTAGTATTAAGAGTCCTCGATCGCATCGGAGGAAATGAAGTCCCATTTCATTGCTCGGAAAGCAACAGCTATTGCTCAGAAATGATCGATTAAGTTCCTCAACTAAATAGCTTCATTTTAGAGTTAATAACCACTCAATTTCTATTAAATTCAGTGATGCACATTATCGCGGAGGAATCGAATACCACCCTGTAATAGAAACAAAAATCCACGCAAAGCCCTAAATCCACGTGTAAAAGTGGTCGTGTATGCCAAAATGGCGTCGTCCACTGTGTCGGGAGGGCCCGGCTCGTATCTCAATATTAAATCGGTTTTATTCAACCCGACTGGGTGGAGGAGTTTGATCACGTTTACCGTGTTGGCCCTCGCATGGTTGGCTGGCTTTTCCTCCCGTCTATTCTCTGTCATTCGCTTCGAGAGCATCATCCATGAGTTCGATCCATGGTGAGGACATTGTTTCCTTGTTCCGAGGCGTGGGCCTAATGCGGTCCTGCATATATGCTAGAATAAGCACTTTCAGAAGTTGTATGAATACTTTTTTGTGAATATGTGGAAAGTGTGGCCTTACCCAAGTTTGTCGTAACGTTGCCACATCAGCCTAGACTGAAGAGAATCTCCATGAGATGCAAGATTGATAGGAACGAGGAGTTCCATTTATTTATAATATGCACCAAACTAACCTAACCTGGCCTAACTTTAGGGGCAACACATTATCCTTAGAAGGTATGCATTTAACCGGAACTGACTGGAATGACGTCATTTTTCTAGGTTCAACTATCGCTCAACGGCTTATATGGTGAAGCATGGCTTCTATAACTTCTTGAACTGGTTCGATGATCGAGCATGGTATCCACTTGGTCGCATCGTTGGGGGTACGGTGTATCCTGGTCTCATGATCACCTCAGGAGCCATCCATCACATCCTTCATCTCCTCAACATTCCCATCCATATACAGGAGATATGTGTATTCCTTGCTCCAATTTTCAGGTGAGTGTAACCTAATGAGGTTGAGGTTTGGAATCTGTAGCGTTGCATTGTGGATTTAGAACATTTAGAGACCGCACTGTCACATATAGATCTTTAAAATTAAGGTCTATTTATTCAAAGTAGTTCAAGCATCAAAACAGGCCTCATGTTAGGCCCTTGGTCAGGCTTTTTGAAGGCCTGTGCTTACATGATGATTGCTGGAATTGTGGATCTCCAGTCAAGTTACAGTGTCAGTAAGTCAAACTTAAATAAAATTGATGTACAGATTCTGGTCTACCAAGTGTCTAAAAAACGTTTTATTTTGGATTTAGTCTCAAAAACACTTGCACAGGCTAAACATGTTTGCTGAGGTGAAGTTGTATTCTAAGGACACACCAATGTCTTGATTCTAGGCTAGAATCAACAGACTAGTGTGACGATTTGTAGCCAACTTTGAGATAGTTTCATATCACCAGCCAGGACAACATGGCCAACAAATTGACTGTAGAGGAATAATACTATTAATACTTTATAATGTGCATGACTGTGTTCAGGAACTCTGGCTATGGAGCACTCTAAAAAACAGTGTGTACTGCACCAAGACTGCAAATGTTCAGCAGTTTAAAGTTGCCATCATCACCGCTGTCCATGATATCACTCCAGCCGAATGCTATTGTGCAATGGAGTGAATGATCTCTCACATACATTACTGCAAGTTGATGGATGCCACATGTGGAGGGCACACATTTCTTCTCGTAACATGTATCTCAATCTGTCATAGCTTCTGTGGTTGTAATGTTACATTTGTATGCATATTGTATCCTGTGTGGCTGTTTCTGAGACTGAGTCCAAAATGTAACATGTTTTCCAGACATATGGTATTTAAACTTCCAATTAGTTAAATGCAGTGAAAATGTGCTAAAAGAGCACAACTATGTAAACTTGTGAGAGAAGGGAAATTATGTTCTGATTGTCCATGTGAGTAACTATTGTAAACTTAAGCCATGTTTCCTATCCCTATATGCTTACCTTGAAATAATCGTACTTGCAGTGGGATGACTGCCATAGCAACATATCTCCTGACAAAGGAGTTATGGTCAAATGGTGCAGGACTTTTTGCTGCATCTTTCATTGCCATTGTGCCTGGATACATCAGTCGATCAGTGGCTGGTAGCTATGACAATGAGGGCATTGCCATCTTTGCTCTCATGTTCACCTACTATCTGTGGGTTAAATCTGTGAAGACTGGAACCACCTTCTGGGCTGCTATGGCTGCTTTTTCCTATATGTACATGGTGAGTTTCAGTCATTTACTTTCAAGGCTTACGATATTATATTAATCCTTCTGTGTTTGAACTTGTTTCATTTGTCTTGATGCTTGACTGTACTTTTTTTCCCTTTAGGTGTCTGCTTGGGGAGGTTATGTATTCATCATCAACCTCGTCCCATTACATGTCTTTGTGCTTCTACTGATGGGCCGATTCTCGCTCAGAATCTACACTGCTTATACAGTTTTTTACATTGTGGGACTCATTATGTCCATGCAGATCCCATTTGTTGGGTTCCAGCCTGTTCGAACATCTGAACACATGGCTGCTGCTGGTAGGTATATCAAAATTAGTAAGATTTAATGTTACATCAAGTGTTTTGATTGATGTAATTTTCTTGTCAGGTGTTTTTGTGCTGTTGAATGTGGTTGGTGGGCTGCGATACATTCAAGGCTTCATGAGCAAGGCTGAATTCCGCTACTTGGCCGTGTTTGGCTCTGCTATTGCTGCTGGAGTTGTCTTCCTTGGTGTTGTAGTTCTCACATATGCTGGGTTTATTGCACCCTGGAGTGGACGGTATGACACTTTAGCCCATTTTAGGAAATAGATCAAATATAAAATAGACCTGCTAAAGAAGTAAATTTTGACAAAGTAGTAAACCTGTACTGATTCCTTTTTGGTGTCTTGCACAGATTCATTTGGGAGATGTTATGCCTAATTCTTTTATCAAGCTCACTAAATTGGACTAGGGCTAAATTGCTTGAAGGCTTGAGGGGGATTGACCAATATAACCATATCGGAAAGAAAGCATTAGCTTAAGCTACCTTGAGAGGCTATTTTATTTATGGCTGATGACAGTGACAACTTATATATATGTAAAAGCACTCTTGCATCCATTTGTATGAATGAATTCATTCATGACAGGGAGGTGACTTGGAGGTTTGAAGCTTTTTTTTTTCATATTCATGCCAAATCACTAATTCATATATTCTGCTTTATCTTGAGAATTATTCAATCTTCCAACTCCTTTTCTTTTTCACCAAGAGCAGTCATAGTTGTGAGACTATTGACAAATGATGAAAAAGATGAAGTTCCTTTTTCAATTTCTTTTTAGAACTATCTTAACATTATGCATAGTTTAGTCCTAATAATTTAAAAAATTAGAGACTGAATCTACCTACTAAAAGAGTAGGTTAAACAGCTATTGAAATCAATCCTGATTGCTATATCTGTAGTATACATTGAATAGGATCCTTGCACATATCAGTATTGCATATTTTATTGGAATATCAGAGAAGGAATGGAATAGGATTTCATGGAAACATCCCAATGTCTGTTCTAGATTCTACTCCCTGTGGGACACTGGATATGCAAAACTTCATATTCCTATCATTGCATCAGTATCAGAGCATCAGCCAACCACATGGTTTGCTTTCTTCTTTGATCTTCACATTCTCATTGCTGTCTTTCCTGTTGGGGTCTGGTATTGCATCCGATACATCACAGACGAACGTGTCTTCAGTGAGTTCTCCCTCCTGAATTATGCAGCATCTTCATGAGTCTTCTTTGCCTGCAATGCTCATACATTTCCCCCAGTTGTCCTGTATGCATTGACGGCCACCTATTTTGCTGGAGTGATGGTACGGCTGATGTTGACTCTGACACCTGTGGTGTGTGTGCTCAGCGGTATTGCATTCTCGGAGCTGTTTTCTGTCTACATGAAAGATGAAGATGGGAAGAAGCATGGAGACGAATCAAATGGCGATGCTGCAGATCGTAATAATAAGATGTATGACAAGGTATGCCAGTGAAGTTTGTTAATCTGTTGTGAGAAAGGCTCAATTTTGCAACAAAAAAAAAATTTGGTTCTTAAATTTCACCATAATAGGAATGAGTAGGCTCCATCAATCCCTTGCACTGGAGTGTTGAGGCAAATTAATATTGCCATTGACAGATGTACATATATCCTACAGATGGGACCCATCAGGCTTAGATGCATTTCTTCCTAATAATAAAGAAGTGAGCTCTTAGTGGAATGAATGTTTTGACCAGGTGTGGTAGAACCTGAAATATCTTTTAGATTGGGATAACTTTCTGTTCTGATAGAACTTGCTGTAACCTTGTCAGCAAATGTTCACTCCACCACTCTATGTAATGGAATTTGAGACTGACTGCCAACAGTAATGTGCTGCTTTGCAAAATCCCTAATTTCTTTCTTGGGCTATACAACCTTCATTAAATTAATAAGTAAAAAGGGTTCTTTAATGACTGGAAATAAGGAATGCCTTAGAGCAGTGGTTCCTAGCCAGAGGACCAAAAGACCTCATGGATACTTTGGTCAGCCTGGATTAATGAAGAATTCCACATTGAAGTGAGCTGACCTGTAGTATGTTCTTTGATCATAATGAAGTTTAAGAAGTATGGCAGTCAGTGCCAGTGGCTTTAGAGTCCTTTATATCAGTTTTCTTTCATTTGAGTCATAGACCAATTATGTTAATTTAAACTCTATGAATCAGTGCTTGCATGGATTTAAGAAGGGTCCATCTACAAGAAATTATGAATTCATCCTCTTCTCTTGGCTACTAGAATCCGCTCATTCTAGGCTGTTTTCTTAATAATTGGTCAATTCTCTCATATCAGTCGCTTGAACTGCTTCATGTGCCTTATATATGCAGATAATAAGCACTAGAGTACTTCATGCTGAACTACTTTGTTTTGTGCCAGCCTGAATTTAATTCTGTCCTCTGATATGTGTGCAAACTGATGCAGGCAGTGATGTAGTCATTGATTCCCTCCAAAGAACCAGAAAGTTACTTCCTGACACTAAAATTTAATCTTCGTTACATTTTTTTTGTGGCTGCAAGAAAAAGCAATTTCTTTTACAGCAGCAAGCATATAATGACACAGCCTTTCTTAAAAAGCTGTACATTTTTGTTTCTAATCTCCACTCTGTGCCTGTGAGAGATCCGTCAACCATTTTTCAGAATCCTCAAGAGAAGAACTCATAGAGTCCAATGTGAATGTCATTTACTCAGGAATGTAGCCAGGGGGGTGTCATGAGTGTCTGGACACCCCCTGAAATGAAGCAACCTATCATGAAACAAGGAGTATGGGAGTGGGAGGAGTCCCCTCCACCCTTCCCACTCCCATACTTCTTGTTTGGGGGGGGGGGGGGGGGGGGAAAAGTTTCACAAATACAAATAAAGTTTCGACAAAAAAAAATGTAACGAAGATTAAATTTTAGTGTCAAGAAGTAACTTTCTGGTTCTTTGGAGGGAATCAATGACTACATCACTGCCTGCATCAGTTTCACATATACAACTGAAGTTTCGACAACTCCTATTCCGCCTTCTTAATTCAATCACTCTTAACCAATACAGTGCACCCCCCATTTTGCTTCCATTGCTCCCAGTTTTTTGAGTTCCAATAGCAAACCATGGTTCAGGAGTAGCTTTCACCCACTAAATTAAGACTAATTCAAAGTCAGTCCTAGGACCCATATCTCTTTTGAGACAAAAAAATAAGTGAAATTTTGGGAAGAGAAGGGGCTATTTGAACTATAGGATGGGTGGGGTTGATGTCTCAAAAGGGCTTTTGAAGTTTTCCTCATTCCTCCCAATCACTCACCTTCTTTGACCACTTTGTCATCTCATGAACCTGAAAGAGCCTCATATGACACACCCCGAAATTATTTCCTTGCTGCGTCTCTGCACTTACTCATTTCTGCATTCTGAAGCAATTGTGCTATACATTAAATTTTTATGTAATGCTAATCAATGCATTGAGATATATCATCAAGCTTCAGATTATTATATTTGCTTCACTGCCTTGACAGTATGAAACTTGACTGTGAATATGCAACAGAGTGATAATGAATGTCAGTTCAACATGAATTTTTTTGTAATGAGATGCTAAGGGAAGGCCTATCTTAATTTAGGGATGCCCAAGCTATTTAGGGATTCCTTAAATAAGGAAATGATGCAAATTCAGTTATAGGGAAAACTTAGCATTGTTGTGCAGTCATGAGACATGTATGAGATGGACTCTCATCTAACTGAATTGGATTGATTTAGTTATTGACCCCACCTTCTCAGGTCTTACAGGGGATGATAGATTCCTTGATGTAGAATTACTCTTTCTGCACTAGCAATGTTATGTCAGAGTTTTACCAATATTTGAGCTAGCTAATTTGGTCATATGGGTTCTACTTCTCAGCCACATTAATTGAACAGCATTGACTGCTCATACTTCATTTGTATTCATTCAAATCAGGAAACTGTGCTGAAAACTGCAGTATTTTTTATTCTCCAACACTAAAAGTCATAGTGCCAGTTCAATTTTCAAGCTGAAAGATGTAGATTTCAGCTCTACTTTCACAATTCCTCATTAGTCATGGTACTTATAAAACTGTCTAGTAGGGCTCCCTGTCCTTATTGTAGATTACTGTCTCATGTTGAACATGTGCAACTTGCATGTCAGTGTGTTGCAAAGGTGTGAATTGTGGTGGTGTCTTGTTAATCGTTACTTTCTAATGGTGGAGGAATTGCACCTGGGTAGGTCTTATTGACCATACTGACTGGTCAACAGATGGGTTTTGAATAGACTAATTGATAACCCTTCCATAGGGACAGCAAAAATACTTAATTTTTTTTTAGGTAACAGTCTCCAGGAATACTTTGTATAAAGTTCCATTATTTTACTTTTGGATGCCATACCCTTCAGAACATCACGGTAATTTGGAGCATCTTTTGTGTTGCCTGATTGAAGTATATTCTGGCTGGGATTTCTTGGCCTCATTGTGAGTATTGTGACATGCATAGGCAGGGAAGGTGCCAAAGATGAAACATGAGGTGGCAAAGGAGGATGCAGGCACAGCAGGAACTGGTCTAGGAATGAACCTTCGAAGTATTGTCGTTGTGGCCATGCTCATGATGCTCTTGCTCTTTGCTGTCCATTGCACCTGGGTCACCTCTCATGCCTACTCTTCCCCTTCCATCATCATCGCCACTTACTCTCATGACGGGTCGGTCTCTCTCTGATTTCTTTCTTTCCTCGAGCTCATTTAATATTTTAAATGAGGTTTTTCTTTTTGTTTTGACTGAAATATTATATTGTCTTGTTCCTGAATTTTGGGGTGCAGGACAAGGCACATCATAGATGATTTTCGTGAAGCATACTACTGGCTCTGGCAGAATACACCGGAGGACTCCCGCATCATGAGTTGGTGGGATTATGGTTATCAAATAGCAGGAATGGGGAACCGAACAACACTGGTGGACAACAACACGTGGAACAACACACACATTGCTCTTGTCTGTGTCCTTAACTCCCTTTCATTTTCCTGTTGAATTGCAGAGGAAAGACCTTGTCTTATTGACTGAGTTTTCTTCTTCAGGTTGGGAAGGCAATGGCATCAAACGAATCTACTGCTTATCCCATCATGCTGTCATTGGGTGTGGATTATGTCTTGGTGATCTTTGGAGGTGCCATTGGCTACTCTGGAGATGATATCAACAAGTTCCTCTGGATGGTTCGCATTGCTGAGGGGGAGTGGCCCACTGAAGTCAGGGTAATACATCCTTCTATTTTCTTTTCTTTCAGTTGTCTTGTGGGAGTCCAGGCCTCCTGACATGGTATTCAGAATATATAAATGCTTCTTAGATACTGGGTACCATGTTGGCTTCAGTGAGATGTTTTTACATTAACCTCTTCATTGGTTCAGGCAAGCTGGTCTTGTCCTTCAGCTAATTTGCATCTGAAAACATGCCAGTGAAGGGGTTAAGCAGGATGCTCATCCTTTCACAAAATATCAAGTTTAGCCAAATTCTTGTTTGTAGTTCATCAAAGGAAGCTCATCATTGGATTGAGCTTTCCGATATAAACTTACATTTTTCATGAATCTTAGGTGTACCATTGATATTACTGATTTTTTTAATATGATTCTGAAATAGGAGAAGGACTACTTCACTGAACGTGGTGAGTACAAGGTGAACAATGAGGCCACTGACATCTTTCTCAACTGTATGATGTACAAGATGTGTTACTACAAATTTGCTGATCATGCTGTAAGTCTGCCTTCTCATCACCTGGTCTTTCATTTTGTCCTATGAATCAATTTAAATTTGGATTGCGATGTTAGGTGAGCTTTGGAGCACCCCGAGGCTATGATCGACTGCGCAGCACAGTCATTGGGAACATGGACTTTGACCTGAAATACTTGGAAGAGGCATACACCACTGAAAACTGGATTGTCCGCATTTATAAGTTTGTTTTATTTTTAATTTCATGATAAAGGTGCCCAGGATGTTGCAAATCATGTGGCTTTTTGCTCTCTCCAGGGTGAAGAAGCCTGAGTCTTTCATTCGTCATCGAATCCCTGCCACAAAACGAGTGGTGAAACCTCGCAACTTCCTCAAGAAAGTAAGTCCACCCTATGGAATGAATGCTCATTTACTATGAGATAGCCTAGTTACTTAGAACTCTTTTAATTAGGGAACTGCCAGAGTCAATATCAACAACTTTGACTACATCCTTTCTTAATGACACAGGGAACAGGATGGAACATGTTTTATCTTGGAAGTTGCAACTTTAACATTGAAGGAAAAAGTCTAACTTGACAATTGTGAACTGATGATCTTGAAAATTTGTGCAAATTTGCATGTTCCATGAAGTTTATATTGATTTGACTGGATTATGCTATGGATGTGGAGCCATATAACATAATGCAGCTAACTTGAGGAGTGTGATGCTACCTGATTGAAAAATGGACTACTCTACAATGACATCAACTTGAGATGGAATATGCCTAAGATAACCATATTAATTTTTTTTCCCAGTCCATTCTTGAAACTTCAGATTTGATGAATGATGCAGGTGTTACTGTTATTCCACCTTTATAGTTTCCAGGTGTGCTATTTGAATGATGAGTCTCTTGCATGTTGTAGGGAAAGAAGGTAGGAGGAAAGGGCGTGATCAAGAATCGACCCTCCATAACAAAGGGGAAGCGTCCACAAAAGCCCATGCGGTAACCTCTGCCTTCCTGGCACACGCCTCAAATGAGTTATGATTTGGTTTCAGTGAAAGGCACCTGTGTGGGGCATCTTTTTCTTCTTTTTCTCAAGTTTGTTTCAACACGGGGTAAATTAAACTAATGACATGGGACATAAGGAAAAAAAATGGTATGCTCTGCAGTGAGAAAAGGTGACCATGAGTCTCTTTCTCTCTCTAAAAATGCCTGTGATTGAAAGGGTTATTTTCAATTGTCCACATGTCAGCAACCCCCACCCTGTGATGTTTTTATCTTGAAAAATATTGCAGTATGTATGTAGCATGTACAGTTTGCAGAGTGTTTATGAATCATTCCAGGACTTTGTATTATGTTTCTCACAGCAGTGAGCCTCTCTTAAGATTCAATGATCAGTTAGAATGACCTTGGGAATTACTGTGGTACCTTGGCATGCAAATTGTGGGCAAAATTTTTCATTTTTGCTGGTGCCTCGCCCTTGAACTCAAACTGACTCACTTGGTCTCTGTGATAGCTTGTGAAAGAGGAAAAAGTCAGCATGACAATCGGGCAAGTGGGTTTCTGCACACATGAATGAGAACAGCTGTGTGTTCCATCTGTAGAACATCAAACCCTGTCAAGTATGGCAGGTTTTTATTTTTATTTTGCCCAAGGTAGGGGACTGGATGCATGACCCAGTGTAGAAAAAGAAGAAAGGAGTTCCATGACCGAATTCATAAACCCGGTACCATCTATGTTTCCAGCACTCGATATAAATCTCAAAGGAAAGCCACTTAAACTGGGAAATTATATGTTATTGTTTGCATCTTTTCAATGGATAGATGTCATGCCTTCTTATGTGTCCTGTTGCCAGCACTGTCACACTGTGGCTTTGTCAATGAAGAGAAATTTGTTTCAAAAAGTCCTCATTGATTGATTGATTGATTCATATTACTGAAGGTAATAGGGATGCTTTATTTTCCTGGCATAGATGCAATACAAAATATCTGTATGCAGAGATAGTCTTGGTGGCAGGTCCTCACCCTCAGTACTATTTCTGGCACTTCATCTCATTTATAATTTTCTCCAAAAAGATTATGACGAAAGTGTTTCTGCCGTAAATCCCTTGAATAGGGATCAGTAAACATTGACAATGGAGTGGAGGAAGTAGAGTGATCTTATTGACTGAAAAATGTAACAATCTCATCCCAGATTTGCAGGAACCAGAGACATAGGCCTGGTTCTCCTGCCAGAAAAGCGAAAAAAAAACGACCACGCTTATTACCAGAGTTGGACCTACGACTGTGTATGAATCAGGGACACATTGCATATGAGGATGAGGAGGAGCCAGGAATGGGTGCACCGCCAGAAGCTGGCGTCTTTCATTTCCCCAACCAGGTTTAATCTTCCCATCATCTCCTTCGCCCAATGCTGACTGTGATTCCTTTCCACGTCGTAGGGCTTCCCGATTTGGCAGCATTCACTTGCTATCCTGTGCAAATCGCTGGTATCGCGCTTCGTAGATCCAAGATAGAAGTATCTAGGGGTGAAAAAAGTTCTTCTGCTTCCCAGTAACCATGGTTTACCTTTCCAGTCACTTGCTTCTCCCTTTCTTGCCCTCCCAATCGGTTGTTTCCCTTCCCGGTAACCTGGTTACCAGGTTACAAAACTTTTTTCACTTTTGGTTGTATCTATCCTTAGCAGAAGAGTATGGGTTTAACATGGGGGAACCAAGCCTTGGTGGTAGGGAGACCCTCTCGAATTCGCGGCCACGTGAATCCTTCTCTGACAGTAACATCGTATGTGATCCATTTGTTACCTCTCACACGAAACACCAGAGCCAACCCCTACTGCACCCCCGTTCTGCTGCCCTGTCGTGTCTCCCCCCCCCTCCGACTCTTTAACCGAAATACGCCACTGAGAAAAGGGATTATTTATAACTGCACTATAAATAAGATTTTATCACGGACGGAACAGAGAGACGTTTCGTGATCACCTGCAAAGAGGGCTGTGCCCGCCAACAACACGAACTGAACAGGGATATAACCCCCAAGCCTTCACATGATGTGACCAGTCCTCGCTTGTATTCCCTGCTCGACTTCGTCGACTCTCTCTATTGGCACACGGCTGGTTTCCGAAGGGTTTCAATCGTAGAATGACAATTTGTAGATTCTTGAATTTTTTCTTCAAGCATAGAATCCTCGTCCCTGACGTATGAAGGCCTTCGGTTGCGGAGGAAAAGTTTTGGTGGATGGGGACCTGCGAAAATTTTCTGGATTGCTTCAAGGGGAAGCCTAGGTTCTTGGTTTCTCAGCAATTTCTTCCATTCTCGTTCGCGGATATCCTCTTATTGGCAACCTCAGAAAACCAGCGAGTTGGAATGTCGGCTCAGTAAGTCCGAACATTGAATGCCAAAATATATGGAACGGCCTTTTCGGCACGACGACGTCATCAATGTCGAGCGAGGGTTGATTTTTGAGTTTAACGATATTGCCACATCGTTGTGGTAAGAGGTTGATATTCGACGTTACCGCAATGTTGAAATTAATTACGGCTCAATTTTGAAGATACGCCGTCTCGTTGCGTCCGCATAGAATCGTCGGCATCTTAGAATAACTTCTTTGAAGGTTCTCTGATGTACGAATGACTTCGCATCGCTGGATTCTTCTGTTTTACCTCTAAGAGCTCGAAAGTACTCCAGCAAGTACCACCATCCCGCGGTTGATTCCACTTGGCGCTGTAACGACTGTAATTCCACGACTGGATGGGTTCTCGAACGACTCACCTGGTTCTGTCCGGCAACGGAGCAATGCGTTCGCAGTTTGTCGCCTTCGCGGGAGAAACGAAAAGCAGACCGACGAAGATGCCTCTTTGAAGATCTTTGAAAGAATCTGCCATGAAGTTCGTGTTTCCTTGGGTCCAGAGGCCAGGGGCCTGTTTCATGGAATTTACAAGTTCTACAAGTAATTAGAAGGGTCGTGTCGTACTTGTGCGAAGGGCCAGCGGAACCAGCCGGAAGAGTTAAACAAGAAGACTTGCAAGTACTTGTAACTCGTAACCCTTGCAAGTATTTGTAACTCGTAACCCTTGCAAGTACTTGTAACTCGTAACCCTTGCAAGTACTTGTAACTCGTAGAACTTGTAAATTCCACGAAACAGACCACTGCAGTCTTCTTCCGCCATCTCTTGAGGCGGTGGCGTCGTGGTGAAAATCGCTGAAATTGAAATTGAAATCGTGAAAATGGCCAAGGAGCCTCAAGTCCCCAGAAGAAATGACGAGATCAAATTCTCGCGAACGAACTTCGTGAGGGAAATGTAGTTCAGAAGTCCATGGAGAATGATCTACGTTGGCTTGTCGTTTACGGGATTCACATTTCGCGAACTCGATGATGAAAAGTCGCGAAAGCCCGATGGAAAACCAGGAGGGAGAACCCAGAGCGCTTTTATTCTCGATCGTTTTCCGAGGCATCGAGAGAAGATTCTGAGTCGACAGATGTTGCCAAGCATGTTGTCACAAGCTCCAACACACTACTAAGGAAACAACGGCAACACCAACTAATCTTCAACTGCTACATCATTATGTTGATCTTGGTCGCACGACGACGCAATATTGAGTCTTGGGGCCACTTTTGTGCAATGGTCTCCATCTGATAAATTGACCAACCTCAGGGATTCGACCAATTTTAATGAAGGAATTCTGAGGTATGACGTAGCGTAGTGGCAACTCCGGTCTGCGGATCTACCGCACGCTTCTCAAACCAGATGACTCTAGTTACTTCCGTCCTCCAAAGCCGGACGCAGTAGCTGTGAAGAGACGAGGTGCTTCCGTGACACGGTAGACTCGTTGCCCTTAAGGGACGCGGCTAATCGAAGACAAGATCTTGAAAAGGCAGAATTAGCACTAGCGATATGAAGCTTGTCCGTTGAGCTCTTACCATAGGATATCATAGGGTACCAGGCGTGAGAGGCCCATGATGGCGGTGAGACTCGTGAACGTGAGTTTTCCTCTCCATCTGCACCCTCTCCACCTGCAATTTCAGGTTACATGAGTAGCCTTGGGAGGCCCAGTTGGTCACGAATGTTTACTTAGGGGATTCAGCCTTTTCACCGGGGTTCTTCTACATCTTACAATCTAACTTTGAGAAGGGAATGGTCCGTCCTTCGGGAGTCAACTTTCTCAGGCATGCAGTGGCTTGCACGAGATGAAACACCTGACTGAGTTGGTTTCGAGGCCAAGTCCTCTTTCACGTGAACTAAGGGTGCTCTGGCATGATCATTCCTGATGACAGGTCTGCGTACGAGGTCTGACAATAAAATAACGAGACTGACGACACTCCATTGCTTGGGGCAACACTGGGTTAGTGGCGATTGTTTTAGCCTGTCAGTGCATGTCTTAGATTTGTCCAGTAAGAATCTTGTGATGTTTCTAGTGATTGCAGAGCAGTACCACTTTAGCAAAAGTAGTGTTAGGGGCACTTGTCAAGAAATGGGTGATAAATATTGTGAACAAAGTATCAATGTGAAATTTCTAATCAAACTCTGGGAAAAAACCAACTGAAGTCTTTGAAATGTTGAAACAAGTGTACGGAGATGAGGTTATGTCCAGAGCATGTGTCTTTGATGGTGCAAATGCTTTTCTGAAGGAAGGAAGTTGAGTTTGACAGACAACCTGGACATCCGACGACTTCAAAATCAGATGAAAACATCGAAAATGTGAGAACTCTGGTGCAAAATGATCCCTGTCTTGCTGCCATAATGATTGTGGAAGAATTGTGTATCAATAGAGAGACGGTATGATTGATTTTAACAAAGTTTGGGCATGAAGAAAGTTTGTGCAAAGATTGTGCCCAAGAATCTCACTGACGACCAACTGCAGTGCTGGAGGGAAATTTGTGCTGATCTTCTCCAGAGAATCAAGGAAAATGACGAATGGCTAAGCAGAGTCATTACTGGGGACGAAAGTTGGGTCTTTCAATATAACCCTGATACAAAGTGGCAAAGCATGCAGTGGAAAACTCCGGGTTCACCCTGTCCCAAGAAAGCTTGGATGTCAAAATCAAAGGTTAAGACTGTTGCTGTGCTTCTTTGACTGCAAAGGGATAGTGCACCATGAGTTCATTCCTACTGGTAAAACAGTCAACCAGCAATTTTATCTGGAAGTTTTGGAATGTCTGAGACAGCGGGTTCGTCGCGTGAGGCCAGAATTGTTCCCTGACAAATGGATTTTGCACCATAATAACACACCTTCACACACAGCACTTTCAGTCAGAGTTTTTGGCAAAAAAATTAATCACAGTGCTTGAACACCCCCCTTATTCACCGGATCTCACTCTGTGTGACTTTTTCTTATTCCCTGAAGTCAAGAAACACATCAAGGGAACACATTTCAAAACCATAGAAGAGATTCAGAAGGCTACGACAGGCGTTCTCAACAGTTCAGGCGATTGACTTCCAGAAGTGCTTCAACAGTCGAAAAAAAGGTTGGAATTCATGTATAGCTGCGAGTGGGAACTACTTTGAAGGAGACCACCACAGTTTACAATAATATGAAATATATAGCTGGTAGAAAATACTGTCTCATTATTTTATTGTCAGACCTCGTATAGTTGGTTCACTGTTCCTGGGTTCCTTCATCCTCAGCAATCTTTAAATTTTAAATTTAACAGTATCAGTTTTTTTGAGGGTGAAGAATCTAGTCATTTGTCTTCAGGGGTGTGGTTGAGCATGGATGGGGTAGGGTGATGCCAAGGCCTCCCCTTTTCTCTTGTGAATTAGACCATTAGGGTCCATTGAGGAAACAGATCAAAAACTCCCAGAGGAAGGTAAAGTAGCATGGTTTTTCAATGTTGAATGCAAAGAGGAGGAGAGGGGAGACTGAAAGGCCCTCTATAACCACTCCATGCTACACCTTTGGTGAGTTTTCTCCTTACCCTTCTCATGAGGTTTTTCATTCAGTGAGTGCTTTTGCAGTGAGTTTCTGGTTACAGTATGCAACTTGATACCTTTGCTGATACTGTATCACCCTTTTGACTAAATATCCATGAACTAATACCAGTTTGGTGTTATGCTTTTATTTACTCACAATTATAGACTTCAATGAGGTCTTCAAATGCACCAGTTACAATACTATTGGCTAATATGCTTCAACTCCTCATCACATTTTGTCATGGAGTCACCATTGGCATCAATATGGTATCAAAAAGGCCAAAGAGTGAGAAAGTCAACCTATATTGGGGAATGGTTATGTTAGTTAAAATTAGAAAAGGGTTCTGGCTGAAGACCATGATTATTTTCTAGCCCAACTGAGCCATCCTTCCCCAAAATATGCTGACTTTCTCACTCATTGGCCTTTGATACCAAACTTCCTTTTTGAAAGGAAGAAATGTCTAAAGAGAACCTGTAGACAAGCCCTGACCTGAAGGATGTGATGACAAGTCATTTCATGAGTTGAGTATGAAGTTCTTCAAGCTGCAATCAGAAATTGTGCCCTACTTGTTGGCAAGTGTGCTGACCTCGGAGTAGGTCATTTTGAGTGTATTTTGTAATTAGATGAAAATTTTGAGAGTTTTCTTATGAATAAGTTAGTGTCCTATTCAGATATAGGTTATAGGATTTTTTTATTATCAGCTTTCAAAATGAGGGTCATGTTTGGGCCACACTCTGTTCAAGCAATCACTGCTCTCATCTTTTGGAGCCTGTGATGCAACTGATTTTAAAAGGATGATGTCTCAAAGGGCAGGTCTTGGCTGAAATCCCAGTCCAGCCTCTCTTCAATTTGACATTTCCTTTGTAGGTTAATCCTGATCTCCCATTCTTAGGTTCATGTAGGATTCTAATACTGGTTCTTTGTTGCAGGTTGGTCAAACAGGCTGGATCTATGCTTGAACCCATGGGATAGTAGGACTATAAAATGTCAGGAGTCATTCTGGAGTCAGGTTTTAAATCACTTGGGTTCCATTCATTTACCTGTAGGAACTGGAGTGGATCCTTGCTCTAATCCATTTATCCACCATTAAGAATAAGATTTTTTTTTTTTCAAGCAATGAGGAATTTGTTTTCAGAAAACCATACATGAATTTTCTCTTGCCTCAGATATTTTTTTTCTGCCTTTCAACTAGCTGATGTTCCCTTAGCTCTCTTCTTGTGGTGACATATGTCATTGATCTCTGCAAACATTAAAGCCTACTTGCTTTCCTACAGTGATATTGCATGTTCATTCAGTCTCCATTTATACCTGACATTGAAAGTTTATGCAGAACTCTATGCCAGTATCCATGGTGTAATGTTTGCCTTTACCTTGCCAACTTGCAAAAGCCAACACATTCTTTCTTGTAGTTCTATAATGAAAAAGATAGTTGCTCTAAGTATGTTTTACTTTGGCTGGCAGAACTATTGCAGCAATTTTTCTTCTGCATCATTTTGACCATTGAAGAGAGTTTCCAGAAGTAAGTTGGCCACATTGCATGTACCAGGGGTGTATTCTTGAATCTTAGACATGGTGAGTTTGATCCTTGGAGTGTCTGAACCAAGTGGGAAGTGAGTGCTTGTGTCTAAATGAGGCTTACTTATTCCATCATCTAGATGGGGATGTGGAATGTGGGAGGTGTTCCATGTCCCCTGCCTGAAATGAAGGACTTGGCCTTGCACCCCAGCTTATGAATTGATGCGTGCTGCATCAGGTTCAAGAGCAGGATGATGTTCATGTGATGAGGTACTGGCAAATTTTACGTGGAAATCCACTTTGAAATCAATATAATGTGAAGGTAAAAGATTTTTGCACTTCTTTTGCCTTCTATAATGCTTTATGGATAAACATGATTCAACTTTGTTCACCTTGAAGTTGAATTGCATATATTGCAAGTGAAGTAACTTATCCATATGACCACATGCTGTTCTGCTACTTTGCAAGAAAAATAACCCAACCAGAATTGGAATGAGATGGAATTATTCTATTTAAAATGCAGGAGGAAAAAAATTGAATGAAAGAAAGAGCTCTCTTAGCCTGTTCCTAATGGTTGCAGTTTCTCAGGTGTCATTGTTTACTAGGCATGGTCTTTTCTTCCAGACCACTTTTTTCTGGCATTGGATATGCACAGACATTTGTACTCCATTTGAGATCAGCAATATCTTTTGAAAAGAAGTGGTTTCCTTTTAGTTCTCTACTGTTGAAATCCTCTAGTATCAAAACACCTCACCTAGTCTCATGTGTCAAACCTGCATCAGCAACATTTGAGGTGGGATAGAGTTGTATTATATTTTTCCATGGTAAGTTCATTTGAGGGATTGGCAATTTAAGAAAAACAGCCTGACTAATGAAAAGAAAAAAGGAATCATATACTACCCCTCCTCCCCTCTCCTCAGTGAGTTTCTGTTGACGATGCCCTGCCTGGGAGTTCTCACCACCCATTGTAATATCCTAAACACACTTTGCTTCTATGCCTGTTTGCAGGAGATGTTCATTGAGCCATCAGGACAGCAAGGGGAGGAAAAATATCCCCTTGTTAACGAAAGTAGTGAAAAGTTCTGGATTTGTTTATGCCAACCTCTTTGATGTAACTTGGCATAATATCAGTTTTTTTTTTTTAAACTGCAAACCAAACCAAAATACCAACTTTACCTATGGTTCTGGGGAGACTAAGAGAAACACTTAAACTCTGTTATGCCCAGTTAGGGTACTACAACTGCCAATTCAGAATTTCTGCTGATATGAACATATGGATTGAAACATTTTCTGTCTATATGAAGAAGGGATCAAGAGGTGATTCACTCAGATAGAGGACAAAACTTCAAGAGTTAAATCAAAGCTAAAACCTGTGGAATTTTAGGTGCTGACAAAACCAGGATAACACCATATCATGCAAGTAACAATAGCTTTTGTGAATTATGGCATTATCAAGAAAATTGTTTTCATCTTGACTGAGAAGCATGAGAAGCATGTATATCAGAGAGTGTAACTAGGATTGGTACTTGCTCCCTCTTCCAAAAGAAGTAGTTGATAATTTCTGAACTTGTTTTGACTGTCTATTGACTTTCATACTTCCAATTTGCATATCAACATCCTTTTTAGATAGTAGAACACTGTTATGACTATTTTTAATACTTGGTATACTTTTGACCTGGCAGTATGGAGAGAAGTCATAGGAGCTTCTTTCTGGGCTTTAGAGGGTAATTGACATATTCTTCCCCCTTTCCTTCTCATCAACCTTGCACAGGGGTACAGGGGTACAGGGGTGCAACCAAGAGGGGTGGATCAGGAGATCTGTACAGTGATATTTGGGCTGAATCTCAAAATTAATTTAGTTAATTTAAAGCTTTTTCAGATATCAAATGTGCTTTCATCATTTAGTGTTCAAATTCCATTTCCACCATTTCATAAAATTTTTCCTTGTTCGTGTGTTCACGCCATTTCGCATTTTTGTTGAGTATATTTCTCCTGATGATTTTATAACACCTTCTTGCATTCATGGTCATGTGAACTTCAAACCCCTCCCCCTGGTTGTGCTGGTGCACCTTGCACTTGTCCATATTATACTTGTTGCCAAAAAGAAGTATGGCCAAGAAGGAGTTGTGTGATCTTGATGAAATTTGGTAAGCAAGCTTGTACTTGCATGCTATGAAATCGATGAGAGTTTCAAGGGTGTTGGATGAATAGTAATGGAATAAACTTGCCAATTAATTGCATTTCAATAACAGCTATGTTGGCATACTAATAGCCCCAAACAGTTACCTAGAAGGCTTTTACTGATGAACCATAGCAGAAAAACTCCTAGTGATGTACAGGAAAATCTAGCCAAGTTTTTAGACTGTGAGATGAGGCAATGTGGACAAAATTTGCTAATTGCATGAGGAATGAGGATGCATGTATCAGCTTCATTCATCTGGCTGATGTATGGATCAAGTTGTTCATGGTAAGCATCCTGGTGACCCTCCACAGATCAAACACCCCAAAAACTTGTTGGATTTGCTTCCAGAGATCTCATCTTAGCATTGCCTTGCAGTTAGACACTCAACAATGGTGAAGTGGCTTGAAGTGCAGAGAAAGGAAACTGATGCCTTCAAAGGCCCCACCTTCTTCCTCAATTCCTCTGGGATTTAGCCAGTTTTCTCCACATTGCCCCGTCTCATGATCTTGAAACTTTGTTAGGCTTTTTATTTAGCACATCATTAGGAGTTTTTCTGACATGTTTCATAAGTGAAAGCCTTCTAGGTAACAGTTTTGAGCAATTAGTGTAACTCCATAGCCATGATTAAAATGTGATTAATTGGCAACTTTTCTCCCCTAATATTCATCCAACACACTTGAAACTCTGATCAATCTCATATTATTCTAGCATGAACTTTTGTACCTTATTTCATCAAGATCACCCAATTCCTTCTTGGTTTTGCTTTTTTTTGATGGGCATGATCTACTCAAGTGCATATGCTTTTTCCTCCTTTGTATCCTTTATGTTAGCCAATCTTTCATTTCGCATGGATACTTTTCATGCTTCTTTGATCCAGAAACTTGGTCCATTCCTCTTTATGGTCTGGCCTTCTTGGTGTTTCAGTGCATGGTCTATCTGGTGGGCAACTTCCAGAAATGTTTGATTTGCCATTGATTATCTTGCTGTTTATCCTGACACTCGATTTGTCTTCATCAATGGAGGTGAAAAAGATTTGGACCATGGACAACCAAATTCTCTCCCATTTGATTACACTGCTATCTTTAAAGCCCTGGAACTCAAAATTGAAATATTTCCTGGCTGCATTGCATCCAAATATCAGGACTTTCTTTCTTCTGTTGGTACAAGTGACTAGTGGGAGATGAACAGCAGGAGCCCATTCTCCACCAAAATTACCTTACTCCATGTTACCATCTTTGGGATCTCTTCTTGCAGAGCAGCAATTCTTTTGGCAAGGCCATGCAGATGGACAACCTGGAGCTTATGTCACATCCAAGAACCATTTGCTGATGACTGCAGTGTGCTTCAACATGACAGATGCTTCATGGGTGAGTGATGGGCAAAATAAGACTTTCTTTGGGGGTCATGACTCCATTTATGCTTTTGCTTCTTGTGATAGTTTAGATTTATTTATTATTAAAAAGCTAATTTTTGTTGTTTTCAAAAGGATAAATTCTATTTAAAGGTTAAATTCTTGTTGTTTTCTTGTTTTTGAACTCCATGCTTGATTGTCATCTGTCATCAAATTGACTGCTTCTCTAGTCTGTTGAGTGAGGCCAGACATAAAGCCTTACAAGGATTTAAGACTGGAATAATTTTATGTCAAGTTAGAAAGAAGCTCTCCTAATCAATGTGTTTCTCATAATGGTCAAAAGTGAAAATGGTTGAAGGAAAGGGGAGGAGAAGATCTCAGTTGTAGGTGAAAGGTTTGTCTGACAATGGGAATGCTTGCTCTCCTTATTGAGAGGTTAACCATGAGGGGTTCTCTGGAAAAAGGGCATATGTGTCCATACGGGTGTATGGGCACATACGCCCTTTTTCCAGAGAACTCCTCAATTGCTTAGGGGCTCTTGATGCTCCCAAAGTGAGGGATGGTTCCACTCATCATCTTGTCAACTGAAGGGGAGGGTTAAGGCAGGAATGTTGATTCCTGTCTTCAAATTTGTGTGACTTGGCTAAGTCAAGGCTAGGAAGATCCCTACTGGTAAAATTTTTGCATTCAAGTGTCATATGGGTTGATATGTATTTCTTTGGCTGTTTCATCCCCTTGACGAGATTCATTCCTGAAGCTTGGTCATGCCTTATCCAAACCCCATCAGGCTTTAGTCCATAGAAAGCAGTCCATCTGAGATCAAGATGAGCAGAGGATGTCCCAACCAAGTGTCTGGAGTTCAAGATTCCCTACTTCTTGAGGCATGCATCCATCAGAAGGAATAGTCCTGGCCAAAGCTCCTAATTGATGTTCTTGTTGCCATTTTTTACGTTGAACCCTTATATGTGTGGCTAGCAGTTGTTGCATAAGGTACCATCCTTTTTCCTTTGACTTCCTTGACAATTATCTACAGTTTGAGGGGGCCTATATTGATTGTGGAATGCATCCATGCAACAAATGATTTCTTAACTTTGATTTCTTTTGCTGGACCCTCATAATACTTGCCAGTCACATTTCTGACTCTTCAGTTGACTACTTTTACTGAGGGGTGCCATCATTGTAACAAGTTTGTTTCAGATTAATTTTCTTCATATTTTGGAACCTTTATGCACAGTGTGAATTGGCAAAATTAACCTATAACTTATCTGAACCAGCTCCAAGATGGCAAATGAAGCAAATCAATAAAATCCTGAGCAAACAGAAATGAGGGTGCATCAATGACAAGAACCAATCTTGAAATAGTCACTACAAAGACTTACATTTTTAGAACCATTTAAAATAGTAATAGGAAGTCACTGAAATTGGAAGAGTGTTTTGTATGCAAAATCTTTGTAGGTGCACCATCAGTCAAAATTTATTGGACCACAAATGTGACCTTTCAGCACAAAGTGGTGCAATAGGAATCCTGGAGTATGCATCAAAACTTGCTTGAGATCTCTTTTAGAGTCTTGTGCTTCAGCTTGTTATTTTCATTTATGTGCAGATTGTTTCCAACTGAACTCTGGAGGACTTGGTGATTATGAAAATGGAGGAATTTGTCTGAGAGACTGAGCACTTTGTCTACTCACAGACAATATAGTTGGGTCACTCTTGAGACTGGCACAGGCATATTTTGCTGCCCAACCCTTCATCCTATTTGTGGTGGTGTGGGTGTTATGAAACAACTCTCATTTCTCAGACCTCAATTGAGGTCAGATAGCAAAGAGTTTGATTGAAATTTTTTCTTTGGAGATATAAGGCACTTTTATTACAATGTCTGTATGCTACAGTGTACTTCATACTAAGTATACCAAGTCCACTGCTGAATTTCTACCACTTCTTGATGCAGTGATTGTGAAAGGAGCAATAATGTGGAAAGTCATTGAGAACACTTTTTTCCCTGTTACTCCAACCTCATGAATGCAATTGCTTCTAAAGCTGCTAAGGAAAAAAAGGCTTTTGTCACCATTTGCAAGAGAGCATCATTAGTGTCATTGTTTCTTTGAGTGGCAACCTAGAGTGACCCTACTACACTTGTAACATCCACTTTGTGGTAGGTTTTCTCATCATTCTGCTCTCATGGTCGGCCTGTTTTTCTTTATTTCAGACAGTGTTGCAGGTATCACCAAAGCAAATATTGAGGGATGACAACATTGATAACTCATTAATCAATATTAGGTTCCTGTCATAGATAATGTTTTATATATTCGAAGATTACAAATGGTGTTGTGCAGTGTGTATTTTTTTTGTGTCTGTGATTTGTACAACATACTGCACTGACATTAACACATGAATTGCTCAGTTTGGCTTGTTGCTTCATAATTAGTGATCCCTCAATTGTTCTGCTGGTAACCTATGCCCTGCATGAGGACAATAACTGAAGTATAACACTGAAAGAAGAGGTCTCAATCAAGTTTTGATATAGACTACTATATACCTATGACTCCACTCTGTGCCCAAGGATCTTGCTTGTAATACAATGTGGCTGATGGTACCACATCTGCTGAGCATACAATGATTTTGACATTTTTATGTTGGCTAACATGGGTTTTGCTGGAGTTTTCAGCAAAAATTCAAGTCTTACAACCAATTTAACTGTTCTAATAAGTCTCCTTATTTTGAAGGTTTCAATGTTTCACCTGCCAACTTGGAGCTGGGGTTCAGGCAATTTGCTTGTCCATTATTTTGTCATGGTGTGAAAGCATGAAAATGGAAACACAAAGTGATGTTAATCATCTCCATCAAACAGCTTTTTAATGCCTGAGCATCGGTTTTCTCTTCTAAACATATTCATTATTTTCTAATGTGCAGAATGGCTGCAATGAATTGAGAATTAAAGCAGAAAGGTAACATGAAAGATTTTTCTGTATTGTATTCTGTCTCTTCATTAACTGCCTGTCACAGCAGCAACTGTTTGACCTTCGGTGAGGATACCTAGTGCATTACGAAGTACCTTCTAAATAAATCAATGCCATCATACATGGTTAATGTAAGTTAATTTGTCTTGGTTACTTTTACACATAATGGTTTATTGTTGTTCTCTAGGTACAAAATGGCCAAGGGTCACAAATGATGCCCTGTTCACAACACTCAAAGTATAGTGTTTCAATGCATGGTTTTCATTTTCTATTTCACAAATGTTTGTTCTAATTTGGTGAAGAAAACATCAGGGGTCAAGTTTGACTATTGAGTATTATGATGTGCGGGGCCCAGGGCAAATGATTCTTGAGTCTACCCCCCAGCCCCCTGCCACTTTACACCTTACACAAATATTTCATGTTTATTTTCTTCGAGGACCACCCTGGAAGAGTGGGGCCTGGAGCTACACCCCCCTTTGCCCCCCTCTTATTCTGGCCCTGATGATGTGGCTAATCAGGACCAGTAGCCTAATGCAGATACCTCAAGATCCTCATGAACACTGTAATGTGAAAAGTGAAGGTATAGGCATCAACTATAAACCCAAAACCCTATGGTACTAAACTAAGTAACAATTGTGTCAAGTTGTGACACTGATGGAAATAAAAAATGAAGATGTATGTCATCACCCATGGAAATAGGATGCGTTGGGGAAAGTGCATCATGCCCCAGTGTGGTGATTCTTTGGGCTTGCTTCACATGTACTTCTGTCCACATGTTTGCTATCAGGAGCAGTTTAAATTCAACCTATTGACATTGGCTTCAGGTTGGGTTCATGAATTGTATGATATAAAAGCAATCTAGGTTCAATTCTTGGGTGATTCTGTTATGAAACATTAGGACCATCAAGACCTGGTGAGTTGAGTGAGTCAGGAATTTATGTACAAAAGAGGACTCTGTACATGGTGTAACTTATGTCTGTACTCCTAATTAATTGGAACTATTTAATTTAACTTTCCCAAGTGTTGTTAAAAGTGGAATTGGTTTTGTTACATGTTGCTGGTAGAAGGCAGAAGGAGGCTTGTGAAAAGTTTCTCCAATTTCAGCATTTAATGAAATAAGCTAAAATAGTTCCAATTACCTACGAGTACACTTTTGCTGCTCCCTGTATATGTACATTTTGTGTCTGCCTGTGCAGGATGACCCCTGCTGTTTTCCTGATTAACTTTGGAGTGTACTCTGCACATTTAATGACGTCCATTCAGTTTGAATTTGATCATGCTTCCTTCTTAAGTTGTGTTCTCTCAGGATTTCTTTTCCAAGTATGATGGAAGTGCACCTCACCACTGTCACCTGATGAGTGAATAAGGTCCAAGTAGGAAATATTTCCCAGGGACAGCTTGGCACTGTGATTTCTATGCTTCCTTCTTTAAAGACAGTTTGCATGCCTGAAAGTCTTAGCTCTTTGGTTTTGGTAGTGAATTCTCACACGATTCTCACTCGATGTCTTTGGCCTTCCCGTTACTTTTTCATTGGTGCAAATCGTGCCATCCTGCCGTGCAGTCATCAGGATGCTCATTACTCAACGGAAACTGCTGCATTGCAATTCCATTGAAGGAAGACTATGGGATGAACAGGCATAGCAACACCAGTTCGCTAATATCTTCTTTTCCCATTTCGTGTAGCTGTGGGGAACAAATTAAATCTGAAATGCATGCCTTTTTTGGTATATTATTTAATAAAAATTTACCTTTGGAAAAAAAAGAGTTCACTTTGAGGCATGCCCATTAAAGCCTCAATTGTCCGAATTAATTTTGTTTCTTGTAGTTAAGTCCTTTCGATTTGAGATTGCCAATAGAGACCTCCCATAGCGCACACTGTAGGGAGATAACGCCGATATTTCGCAACCGAAATTTAATTTTTTTCTGTCATCCTTTAAGATATTTCAAGTCTGAATAAAAGCATTTTGTTGGGTCTTCTTTCCTTTAATGTAACCAGAACCATCTTTGAAAGCATCGCACCTAAATACACGTTGAAAAGAGTGCCTTTTACATGCCACTCTATATTGGGATTGTGACCGACAGCCTTGGAAACGCTTGGTCCATTCTTTTTGTTTTGAGCAAGTACTTTTTAGTACTTCCAGTTCTAATAAGGTCTTGAGACAAAAAAAAACCGCACTGGTTGAACGAAAGGAGCTCCGTAATTCTTGTGGATTAGTCTATACACGGTAGCTGAGATCATCTGTCCTTATACTTGCGGAATACTGTAGCGGAACAAGTGAAAACATGGCAGTTGAGTTGTATTGGTAGGTGCTATATTGCAGATTGTCCGTTACTAAGGCCGAGTTCATACTTCTGCTGTACAGCAACGGCAAAATCCAATCCAAAATGCACGAGTATGAGATCGGTCTAATGCATTGTAATTTTTCATGTTCATTTGATTATGACCTGCGCAGATTGATGACCAGTCTTGGCTTGTTAATTCCGATGCAGAAAGTCTCTTAGTGGAGAAAGTATGCGAGATTACTCAAACGTGCAAAGTTGCTTTGAGCTGAAATGTGCTCTCGTAGCTGTTTCCAGCTATGATACTGCAGAGCAGGGGTCAGGAACCTATGGCGCACGAGCCAAAGTTTGGCTCATTGAGTCGTGGCTGAAAATCATGGTGGTTTCTCATTTTTCTCGTGTATCAAAGAATGCATACGTTTGTTGCCAACTCCGGGAAACATCTTGTTTTTCGGAAAATCTTTCGCTCACAAGCGCTTAGCTCAGTCTTAATACGACTCACATGGCCTAAAAGGTTCCCGACTCTAGAGAATTATGATCTGTACAGTCCTGTGTTTAAGTTTTTTTAAAAAATATCTTCTCTTTTGTCGTCAGGTATCGCGGAGTATCGGTTGGTGGACCTGGCCCCCCTCGGAGACTCATCGATCATGGAGCATCGCTTCCATCGGATCACCACCTGCGTTCCACCCTCTGCTCAACAGCATTTCATATTTCAGTTTTGTATCTTGTTTTCATTGCTTTCTCGTGGTGATTGTTGTGGGAGTTGCATCTGCTGACAGTCCGGAAAATAAACATTTATTGCCTAGATGGTATGCAAATTTAATTTTATATGGTGAATCGAGTGAATCCAGTGGAATACAATAATGCAAGGGTAATCGAGCGGCTTCCGATTCGTTTCAGCCCTAAAGGACATGACTCACGTTTGTCCTGATACTAGAAGTGTGACAAGAACAGAAGGAATCGGCACGAGCAGAGATGCAGAAGAGAGCAGAATCGTGAAAGTTAACAATCGGGGACTGACGAAACAGCTGTCTTAAAGGTCAATATTACAATCAGAAATCGAGGGAGGTTCTCCAGTTGGACGAGTTCATTACGGACGTGGGGGGTGGTCGGGTGGTGGGAGAGTCCACGGAGTGGAAAAGAGAGGGGAGGTTGGCAGGGGGCTGACGTCACTGAATTCGACCTTGAACGGCCACTTTTTTCCTGGTTCGGAAAAAGCAGCACGAGGCGAGATTTTCGGTTTGGGACGGAGCCCCTGCCACGTCACGGATCTGGACCCATTCACCTTCATTTGACCTTGAGCCCTCAGAAACCCGACTTCCCCTCGAAATTGAATGGACTCGTCCATCTGCCCTGTTACATTGGAAAACCCAGTTTTTTCCGCTCGCCGGATCCCATCTACCCATAGCCAAGAGGGAAAGCGTTCGCGTGGCGTTCGTAAGGCTCACGATCGAATCCATGCTGAGAATGCGAAATTTTTTTGTCTCTCCTGTCTCATCTTGCTTCTACTCGAAGTTCAAGTATCCATATTGTTCTTATCTATTCGCACATTGTGGGGCGTGAAAACTTGCATCTCCTCGGAAAGCATCCCAACGGAACGGTCATTCGTGTAGAAGTAACGACGAACAGGAATGAGTTGCGGATGAGGCTTCCGCCAACCCTCGGCGAAAGACGGGACGCGGCGAATGGAAATCGAACGGCGAAGAGACGGATCACGGAGCATTTAGTAGGAGATGCGTTGAGAGCCATGAAGATGGACAGATGCATGGTTTGTGTCTGATAATTTCAATTTCCGCTTCTCAGACTTGTCGCTTTTAACCATCTCGCCGTCATTTTCGGAAATTCGCAGAGGGAAAACGGTGATTCCATCGCATCAGCCAAGATTGTCTGGACACTGTTCATTCGCTCCCCAAAATCCGGTTTTTCGTTTTCCCATTGCGACGCTAAAGCCATGCACAACCCGAATTTTCATCTCCCCACTCGTGTCGTTACTCTCGTCCTGCATTTCCGAGGAGTTCGACCAAGCATGAGGCGAGCCAGACGCGATGGTCCGAAGAATACGAATGTTCATGCATTTCTTGCAGGCTGTCGTGCGAATGAAGCAGACGAGTCCAAACATGCTTTTATTCTCGGCAAAAATGAGGAGCAGCCGAAAAAATTAAGAAGGAAATGGATTGACGGAGGCGACGACCGCGTTCTCCCCGACTCGAGACGGCTGTCGAGTTCGAGCTCAAATTCATAGAAGTTGGTGGATCTTTCGCGAAATTTTTCATACCACCGCGATTTTACGTCCCTCACGGTGCGAATTCGCATCACAGGCGACTGCTGTTGAATTGTTCGAGATTGCCTCAACTCAAAGTCAGAGGAACCATTGCGATACCCAACTGAAAGGTGGATCTTTCGCGAAATGTGTCGGAACACCGCGATTTCACGTCCCTCACGGTGCGAATATGCATCGCAGGCGAATAGAGTTGGATTGGACGAAATACCTGAATTAGAAAGTCATTGGAACCATTGCGATACCCAACTGAAAGGAGATCTTTCGCGAAATTTGTCGTACCACTTCCATTTCACATCCATCCAGCTGCGAATCAGCAACTGGGGCGAATTGAGTTGAATTGGGCGAAATACCAGCATTAGAAAGTCATAGGAACCATTGCGATACCTAATTGAAAGGTGGATCTTTCGCGAAATGTCTCGGAACACCGCGATTTAACGTCAATGACTCTGGGAATCAGCATCTGAGGCGATAGAGTTGGATCGGGCGAAATACCATAGGAACCATTGCGATACCCAACTGAAAGGTGGATCTTTCGCGAAATGTCTCGGAACACCGCGATTTAACGTCAATGACTCTGGGAATCAGCATCTGAGGCGATAGAGTTGGATCGGGCGAAATACCAACGTTAGAAAGTCATTGGAACCATTGCGATACCCAACTAAAAGGTGGATCTTTCGCGAAATGTGTCGGAACACCGCGATTTAGCGTCCATATCACTTTTTATCAGCATCACAGAACTGTGGTGTTGAACTGGACGAGATGCACTCAATAGAAGATCATTTTAACCATTCCATACCCAACTGAAAGGAGATCTTTCACGAAATTTGTCGTACCACTTCCATTTCACATCCATCCAGCTGCGAATCAGCAACTAAGGCGGATTGAGTTGGATTGGGCGAAATTCCAACGTTAGAAAGTCATAGGAACCATTGCGATACCCAACTAAAAGGTGGATCTTTCGCGAAATGTCTCGGAACACCGCGATTTAACGTCAATAACTCTGGGAATCAGCATCTGAGGCGATAGAGTTGGATCGGGCGAAATACCAACGTTAGAAAGTCATTGGAACCATTGCGATACCCAACTGAAAGGTGGATCTTTCGCGAAATTTGTCGTACCACCTCCATTTCACATCCATCCTGGGGCGAATCAGCAACTGAGGCGGATTGAGTTGGATTGGGAGAAATTCCAACGTTAGAAAGTCTTAGGAACCATTGCGATACCCAACTGAAAGGTGGATCTTTCGCGAAATGTCTCGGAACACCGCGATTTAACGTCAATGACTCTGGGAATCAGCATCTGAGGCGATAGAGTTGGATCGGGCGAAATACCAACGTTAGAAAGTCATTGGAACCATTGCGATACCCAACTGAAAGGTG